ATGGAAGACCAACACCAAAAACCGCATCGTTCTAACTTTCCACGTTCCCCAATAAACGCCAAAATATGAAAAAAGTATGCAATAATTCTAACCCTCGTAGTTTCCAAATAAACTCCAAAACGACGAAAAAGTATCGTTTAACGGTCCAGGGGGGTTAATGGAGGAGTGCGTGGGTGTGAAAAGGACGTCGGGGGAAAGACTTCGTAGACTTACTAAAAACTCACCCTCCCCGAGGCCGCCCGGCCGCCGTAAATATTTTTTACGGGCGATTATTCTGTCTCGAATTCGGTCCGACTTTCTTTCAAAATTCACCCCTCTCGACCCCTTCGACGAAGGGGGTCGTACGGTACGCCGTAAGTTGGGAGTCTAAGTGCTTGTTCACAATGGACATAAGCATAACAAAAACATAACAGATACATAATTCATAATGTTGAATAGTAGCAAACCAACGTATGTGTTCACAATGATTACATAATTTTTATTTTTTTGTAAATGTTTGCGTATGTTTTATGTCCTACCGAAACGGTACATAAAAAATACATAAAGTTGGGTCGGTTTCAACTTTACGTAGGTTTTATGAAAAATCTAGTGGAATTAGGTGTATTTCTGTTGGGTACAAAGACGCAGCTGTTGGTTTGACATTTCAGTTACTACGTCTAACGTCGATGACATCTCTTCTGCCAACATAATCTGGTTATTTTTAAATTGGTACATAGTTTTTGGCGCATTATTTCATAGTTTGGTGTGGTTTGGTCCTTCGTGTGTTGTTTTTTGATTATATCCAACACGACATGGAAAACGTATAGACGTCGAATTATTAATTAGTTTGGTGCGATTAAAACCCTAATTGTTTAATAAAGGGGACAAAAGATATAAGGTTAATAGGTGATCGAATAATCCTGGTGTATGAAAAAAACCATATTCTTCATCATGCAGCTTCATTTCTAGACAAGCTTAAATTCTTAAATTCTCCCCTTTTCTCTCGGTCTCGATTTATAGGTCTGACCCACCAACGCCGTTTTTGTTTTGTAACAACTTTGTCTCTGTGTCTTCATAACAGTAAAAGCAATAAAACTGTTGAAATTTCCATCTCAGTGGCACATACATATACACCACAAATAATATTGTTATGTTCTTGACGTTTTGATTTGCGCCTACGCAGATAATTATAATCTTACGGTCACTGTGAACACTTTCTCCACCTGCGTAAAATTATGTCTTATGTCAATATTATGTTTTATGTATCTGTTATGTTTTTGTAACGCTTATGTCCATTGTGAACAAGCACTTAGAAAGTTTTTATTAGATCGTCGGGTATTCGCGTCGCGAAGGATAAAGCGGAGCGACGTCGACGATGCCCAACTTTGCACCCTCCCCATCACCCCCAAACGAAAGTTATGTAGGGGTAACGACCCCTCTTTCCACCCCCCGTGTTCCGGTACCGGTCCGCCCCCGCGGGGGGGGGGGGGGGTGCCGCGACTTCCGCGCCTAGGCCTTTCGAAAGTTTTCCTTTTTTTTGGCCGTTTGGACATCGGTATCAACCGAATGGGAAAAGTCAAATTATTGAGGAATAGCTGTATAATATGATAAAATTATATCTGCGTCTTCTAATCGATGTGTAATTATCTGCATATTCATCACAATGACTAATAAATTAGCCTAATTACTTGTTTACTTTATACAATGGTTGGGCAGGTACATTCTTCGATCTTTGTCTACTCGTTACCATTTCATTGCAATTAAGTATTAGCCAACCCAACATACATCAAATAGAATTAAAATTTAAGTGGAATACACCCTTAATGATAAAATGCAATCCTTTTTAATATTAGTATTATGATGTGCAGTGCACATTTAGCGCAATTATGCTCTAACAACACCGTCTGTAATCACAGTTCCTCAACGGCGCCCCCTGTTAGTGGATAACGGTAACTGTTGTGATTAAAATTTCGCTATTATTGAAATATCTATATCCGCAGGGTGCCATCTGGTGGCAACGTTTAGCATATCTCAAAACGGCACGTTCCGCGGCGCCCTCTGGAAAATAACGGCCGGCGACATACTCCAAAGTCCGCCGCTCATATAAGCATTCTGAGGAGTTGGATATTCAATGGTCGCGCTAAGCACCACCCGGTATATAACTATGACCTAAGACAGGATATACTCCATATCCACGATACTACAAGTATCTCAAAAAGCGCTTTTGAATTTTTTCTATAATATTTTTGTGTGTTTATATTTTCAGGTGACCAAAAGAGAAACATAACTCAACTTACTAACTACATATGCTTCATAAGTATAAAATCACGATAGATGAAATATTAGTAAATAACCTACTACTTATTTCTAATTATAAAACCAAGCAGACTATTATAGGCAGACACTACTTTACTAATGTGATTATTAAATGTCCTAATTTTGTGTCAAATTCAAATATGACTCGAAGATCTTTTAATTCACTTTTTCGTTCTAAGATAATTCCTTTAAGAAAGTCGGTAATTAAAGTGGATAGGCTTCGTTTTACGAGAAAATGTCATAACGTAACACTTATTAGTTTAATCCATATACCATGGTTTAATCGCAACCCGTTTACAGTACACCATTCAAGTAAGTTGTCAAGATCACGTTGCAAGACATAACAATCATCATTACTATCTACTGCCCTAAATATTTTTAAGTCATCACCGTTGTAATTAATTTTTGTAACTTACCAAAGATTATCCATATCGTCACTCATACAGTATTCAGAAGGGAATGGAATAGGAATAGGGATAATTTTATCGTAATTAGCCGAGATGGATAATGAATTAATGATAATTTGAATAACTGAATGTTTCTTGTTCTTAACTTTAATCTCACAATTTTACGTTTCTTCGTTGTAACCGCCGCGTGTTTCTACTAGCTCTGGTTATATTTTCTATTGCTGTATTTACGCGCGTAGGTCCGACAACATGGCGTGGCGGCAATTTAAAATTTCTATTGCGCGTCCAACCGTATAAAAGATAATTACTAGATAGTACCAAAGACTAGATAGTCTTTGATAATACATTACATACGGAGTTAAAAAATATTAGGAAAAGCAGTGGCCCAAGATTGGATCCCTGAGGAACTCGCTTGGTTGGCGATGTACATGTCGGTTTGATCGCCCATATGCTCAACGACTTGCTTACGATCGTGGAGATAGGATGATATGGCATTCACTATGTTGTTCGACACACCAGCCTCTGTTAAAATATTTAAAGCGCTAAAGTTTGCAAAATTCGATTTTTTTATTATTGGTAAATATCAAATTTTTAAGTTTTGAAGATGTTAAAGTTGAATATCAGTTTTAAAACACTATGTAGAAGTCAGTATTGTCGATTTTGGAAGATTTTTTGAAATGCAAGTCAACGGAGTCATAGGTGCAGGGGCTCTAACGAAAAGCAATCAAACGTCAAAAATGTTGAAAAATCTTGAATAACTTGAAAACGTTTGATGCTGGTATAGGGAAATGTGGTATCAAATGAAATAGATTTTCATGTAGATTTCGAAAATGCAATAAAATACAGGATGTTCTATTGGCGCGAACGATTGGGGTGGTGTCCGGGGTGCGAAGCAGAGCACGTGAAAATGTTTCGAAAAAATTTCCACTTTTTGGAGGTAAAACGGAGTTTCCCCCCAAAATCGTTTTTTTTTGTAATATACACGTGGTGCTCTGCAGTTAAGTGGATTTAGTCAAGAGTGTTTATTGTTTGTTGTGTAACAAAGTTGTTTACGAAAATGTGATACAAAACAATAAATCACTTGAGATATAGGTATATGATATAGGGAGATTAATAGATACAAATGTAATAGAGTGTAATAAGCATCTAAAATGGACATATCTTTATTCTTGGCAATAGATAAGAGAGATAGTAGGTAGGTAAACAAGTTTATCAGTCCGTATATGTACCTAATTACCTATTATATGTAGGTATGCAAATTTTTTATGTTTTACATTTTAAATTTTAATTGTAAAATGTGTACCTACACGCCTATGATGTCACTACCGCGCAGTCCGATTTGTAAAGCATTTTTTTATTCTGAAACAGAAACTCAAGAAACGAATGGCGTATATAAAGCAGGCCTTCCACGTGCATTCATTTCTCGAACTTGGAGTGTATACTCCTACAAACGGACCAAGTTCGAACGTGGAAGTGATCATCGCGCAAAGTTTGCATCGTTCTTGGTACGGAGCGAAGAGTTTTGCCAATCCTAAATTCTTGGCGCGGAGCGATGCTGGGCACGCGCGTGGAAGTGGTTGTCGCTCCTGAGATAGATTTACGCATTGTGGTATATGAGGAACCGAAAACGCATATCGTTGTTTTCACGTGCACAATCGTACCTATATTTGTTCACCAAGTTTGTACGAACCATGTGCGAACGTGGAAGTGGTGTTTCAACATTCTGTTCCAAGTTCGAAGACATGGCGTTAATTCAAAGTTCGATGAAATGAATGCACGTGGAAGGCCTGCTTTAGTCTTTCAGCAACTGCTTCAGATTGCGGATATTAACCTCATCAATAAAAATTGACCGTATCTTTACGTTCCAAGGTCCCAGGAGTCCAAAAATGTGCTTTCTAAAAAGTGTCTGTATGTACGCAGTACGGATGTATGTATGTGCGTGGGGCATGATTCTTGTAAACAAGTTTCAGAAGAAACTACCCAACAGATTTGGTTGAAATTTCAAACAAATGGTCTCGAGAGCTGAAAAGGCTCTGGAAGCGATTCGAAGATGGCAAATTCGCATGTCTTTTAACAACACGGTTAGCTGACTATGGCTTTATGATATACCAGCTTAAAGTGTTACTGGGCCACTGCCATGGAAACGAAAATGGCCTGACATAAAATAGGCATGAAAAAGGCTTCATGACGATTTGGGAAAAAAAGAAATCATGCGGTGATAAATAAGTATAAGTGGAGTACGGGCAATCACTTGGTCTTCGCAATAATTATAAGATAAGCAGACTATTTTGAAATTTATCTAGTCTAATCTGGTAAAGCTTTTGAGATTTAGGTAGTATAAATGCGTGTGCAGGCTGCCTCATAGCCGAGTATTATCATCATTTTAAAGATATGTATTTTAAACTTGTATTGATTTCCGTTGGTCTCATGTGTGTAGGTGTTGCCTTAGGTATGTAACGACACTTTTATGATTTGATGCACGAACGGTACGTATGATGAGCTTTACATTACTGGTTTGGGAACAAATGTCAATCACGTTCGTTATTTGTAACACATGCCAACATTTCAGCGAGAAAGAGATGGCAACAATTTCATGTAGAAATTGTTACAAACTATAGTGATGTAAAAGTCATCTTTGGTGCAAAAGAATTGTACTTAGGTATAATTCCATATTGAATTTAATGTTAATTATTATATACCTTTCATTGCTCTGAAAAATGGCTACCGCTGTGTCCAATGCGCCAATTTTGTCAGGGAAACGAGAGAACAAACAAATCAGTTAAGAAATAACTAATGACGTTCTATAATAACGGTTCTGGAAATTATTTTTTCTATTTCGGTGTCACAATGATGATTTTGTACAACTGTTTTCGGAAAACAGTTGTACAAAGACAGTGATTATAGTCGTCTTTTTTTGGTAACTCATCTCTTAAGTTGGCAGTTACTAGTTAGTACAAGTAGGTACTTCGTTGGGTACTTCCATGTTTGAACTTCAAAATGTCAGTCTTACTACGCTGCCAACCTAAAACTTAACGGCATAAAAAGTGTTCCCAACATAAAACATGTTAGTTCTAATGTTCCCTATAGTTTCTGATAATGATTTTTTTAATTAAATTAAAGCACCGAAATAGAAAAAATAGTATGAAAAACGCGTGTTACAATGCTTTATTGTAATACTCCTATCTTGCGGACACTCGTGGCTACGCTTCGCGTCGCCACTCGTGCCACAAGATAGTCGTATTACAATAGGTCGCATTGTCTTTCAATATACTATTTTTTATTTCGGTGTTACAATGAGAATTTTGTGCAACTGTTTTCGGCAAAAACAGTGTTTCAATGAGTTCCATTGTAACATTGTTTTTGGTAACTTTTCATCTCTAAGTTGGTAGTTCGCCAAGACGTCAACGTCAAATCATCAGATGTGAAATCAAATTACATACGTAAAACGAATGTGTTTTCCTTGATTTTTGGTACACGAAGAACTTAATACATTCCAAATCAGCAGTTTAGACATCCACCATAAATAAATTTATCTACGAGTAAAAATTTACGCATTCACGGAATTTAAAGTTTCCAAATGTCAGTGTTGTGTTTATCTCATATACAGGGTGATTCCTATAGTACCTGCCACCGTTTGGGAGCGTATAGGGGGTACCTAGGGGAAGTCTTTTCATATAGGACACTTGGGGTCGGAAATCTAAAATAAGGGCGCCAGAACCAAATTTATCTTCTGGAATTTCACGCCTGTATGTAGGCAACCCAACCGACCGACGTTTCGCGCGGAGCGATGCAGAGCGAGTTAGCGCGAGGAAGCGACATGGGAGGGAAGGAGGGAAAACGACAGTCAAAAGCAATAACGTTTACAAGTGTTCAACGTGGCCACCGTTGTTCTCAATGCACTTCCTACATCTAGCCAACCACTCCCCTCGAACTCGCGTGAAGACTCCTATGTCCTGGCGAACAGCCTCTCCGGCCATGACGACGCGCGCAATTAAGTCCTCTTCGGATTCGACGGGAGTCTCGTAGACGTGCGCTTCCATCACACCCCACAAGTAAAAATCTAATGGGGTGATGTCGGGCGAGCGGGCAGGCCACTCCACCGCACCTCCACGGCCGATCCATCTGTCCGGATAGGTTTGGTCCAAGTGTTCCCTCACCTGCCGCCCGTAGTGAGCAGGGCACCCATCGTGCTGGAACCAGTGGTCCCAGTACAAGTTCACTGGGTTGCCATAATTCCAGAAGGTAAATTTGGCTCTGGCACCCTTATTTTAGATTTCCGACCCCAAGTGTCCTATATCAAAATACTCCCCTACGCACCACCTACACGCTCCCAAACGGTGGCAGGTACTATAGGAATCACCCTGTATATAAGAGAAGATCTACGCTGCCAACTTAAAATTTGTCAACGTAAATGGTGTTGCCAACTTAAGACATATTAATTCTAAAGTAAGACATATTAATTCTAAAGTTTCCTGTAGTTTTTGATAATTACTTTTTAATTAAATTAAAGCCCCGAAATAGAAAAAATAGTATGAAAAACACGTGTTACAATGCTTTATTGTAATACTCCTATCTTGTGGACACTCGTGGCCCCGCTTCGCTACGCCACTCGTGCCACAAGATAGTCGTACCTATTACAATAGGTCGCATTGTAACACTTGTCTTTCAATATACTATTGAATGAGTCGCTACTCAAAAAAGTGATTTTGTCATCCACTTAGCTTACCTAACACTTTTTTGCTGTTGCTCTTGCAATACGTTCCCGACACGTCAAATACCCGCCGCATATACTAGGTAACTAGGCGATCAAGAATGAGTTACTGTCGCGTCACCTTTGGAATTTTTGTTTACATGGAACATTGTGCTTAACTTCAATTTCAAAAGGCGACTCGACAGCAACTCATTTTTGATCGCCCCTATATGATTTTTTTTGTATAGTGATCAAATTACTGTCAAAAAATCGTATGGAAAGTGTAAATCACGAATGTCAATGATTTTTAATTATATGTTATTAAGGATCACTATGCAAAAAATTTCGTGTACCTCGACACGCTTTCAAAGTGCCCTTTTTGCACTTACCTATTTGCTTGATTAAAAAGTATTACTTTCAAAACTAGTTGTACAAATAGGTAACTATTAAATTTGATTTCCTTAAACGTATCGAATCGTAGGTGCAGGCGAATACGCAAACTGCTATTATTGCAATGTTTATTCCGACGAGAACCCTGAAGCCTTTAAGAACTGTCGTCACTTCATTAATATTACCGACACTCATTCATGCCGTGCTACTTTCCTTTGGCCAGTTGCAAGATGCATATTTTATTTTAGAAGTAAGTACTTAATGCTGTCTAATACACGAATATCATCTACCTACCTCTTTTTAGCTACTACAAGAAACGGAAAGACCGTAGAGCAAGCGATAAGACATTGTTCTGACAGGCAATGTTATGAACATTATAATAGGGAGAAAAGAGGCCTTCACTGTTCGGAGTGCAAAGATGAGAATTATTGCAATACTGACAAATATTGATCAATATGATCAAGTCTATAAATATTGTCAACATTTTCCTGCAACCTACTGTTACTATAATGTTTCTTAATATTTTTGTTCTTTTTTCTTTGACATTATCCTCTAAACTAAAAAATGTAATAATTATGTTGTAATATACTTACGTGTTTAAAGCATCACCCGTTTTTGAGAAACCCTATTCCACAATTTTTTGCACTAGGTCGCCGGGGGAGGGGGGGGGATTAATTTTATTTTTCATGGTATTAAAATTGAAGGTCCCAACGAAAGGAACCGATTTCTACCAACTACCGCCCTTCTTTCTGACTTCTTATTAAAAAAGAAGGTGGGGGGGGGGGCTCGTTTTATCTAGGGTTTTATCCTTCATGGTACTGTAACGAAGGGTCTCAACGAAAGGGGCTCATTCCTACCAACCATAGTCCTCCTCGGCCCGTTATCGTGATCGAATAGGTATATTCCTTTATATCTCCAGAACGGATTGTCGAAAGAAGGTACTCTCAAAAGGCCGCGTCTATTGATTCTCTCGCCAAGTATAAGTTGAGAAGTGTTATTCGTTTCTTGCAAGCAGAAGTCCATCGGAGAATATGCCGTGTTTACGGAGAAAATATAATTATGAGTGATGTTATTGTAGGGGAATGGTACCGTAAGTTTAAAAATGGCCGAACTGACGTGCATGATGAAGGAGATCAAGGACGCAAGTCTGTCGCTACAGACGACCTTGTTGAACGAGTTGATAAAGTGGTTAAAGAAAACCGTAGATTCACAATAAGTGCTTTTGTCTGTGGAATTTCCAGAAGTGTCAAGAACTTCTCTGTACTCTATTGTTACCTACCGAACATTTAGGCTCCAAAAAGACTCATTTCAATTCACTGGCGGTAACATATTATGAAGAGGGTATTGGAAAGCTTGGCCACAGGTATGACAAATGCCTCAATCGTCATGGTGATTATATTGAGAAATAAGGGTTCCGGAAAGTTCACCGATCACAATTCACCGATTGCAAATCACCGAGTTCAATTTACCGATATGGCATCTCACCGATCCACAATTCACCGACAGTAGGTACAATTCGTCGATATTAAAAATGCGAAATATTTCAAGATAATTAATAGATAGGAATGTTATTTCAAGAACGTGTATAGGTAAAATGGGGTATATGATTTTATTCGGTCGTCCAAATAGAAGGCTACGTCGTCCTCCACAGTATCCTTTTTCGATGTGGAGTGTTTACCAAAGGATACTAGATGATGTACCGAGGACAAGCAATTCTGTCGAAGGATGGCATCGTGGATTTGAAGAACAGGTGGGGGCGACTCATCCTAATATTTGGAAATTTATAAATTGTTAAAAAAAAGAACAAGGACTTAATTACAATCGAGCAATACGTCAGCGGATTTGAAGCTCAGCCAAAAAAGAAAAAAATATGGAGACTACGCGCAAGGAACTAAACGTATTGTATAGCTCAATACGACGTTAATATTATTATATTCCATTATATTAAGAGGATAGGTAGGTAGCTCATAATTTATCATATTAAGTTTTATGTCTTACTAACCTATCATAGCACATTTTATACCTGTGATACGCGGGCATAAAGTATCACCATAGTAACTCATTTATGCTTAATGACAAAACAAACAAATATTTGCAGATCATTGAAAATTAGAAACGTCAATTATTAATTGTCAATACCTACTAAATCACAAGATTGGCTTTATTTCGTATATTTTCTGGAACTTCTTGCTTATTCACGATGAATTAAATTATTTTTTGTGCAATTGGACGAGAAACAACAACTTCGCGTTCGCCATGGCGGCCGCGAAATTCATTTTCGCGGCCGCTGTCATAGTGACGGCCGTTAAAGTAAAACAATGTCACATATATTTTGACAATCAGCATGTACCTAGGTAATTACAAATCTTTTGGATAAATGTTAATATTAATCGTACAGTTCGTATTGTTACTTATACTTACTCCTGAAAGAAAGTCTAAAGTGTTAGAAGCGTTATACTTTGAAACTGTAACATTTTGATTTTCATTAGAACTCAAACTGACAGGTACACTTTTTTATACACTCGTTTATATTAAGCATTCACTTTAGCATCGAATACACACTCCATAAGCTTGAACTTTTTAAGGTCTTCGATTTTTCCATAAGGTACGCTAATAGTACATTTTCAGACAAGGTTCCGGATATCGAAGAATCACTTTCGGAGGCACACATTTTGACTTTTCTTCTTAGACCATATAGTACATGGACTGCTATTCGCCCTATGCTTTCAATACAAAATGGATGGTCACGAATAGAGGGCACTGTAGTCGTGGGTATGTGAATCTCAGGGTAAACTAAGGTCGTGTAAACACCACTAGGATCGCTTAAAGAGCAGCTTTATAGTAACCGCGTAGTACGGGAAGCTTTAAATACTCTTCATTATTTACTATACGTCCTCAAATAAGAATAAGTCTGCTTTTTTTGGGATATCTAGGCGATTAATTAATTGACGTTTGTTAATTTATAGGTTGACAGTCTCAAATCGTGTCTAATCGGACAACTTCGGGCAGACTCGTTTACCCTGAAACTCACATACCCAGGCGGTGTCCTTGACCATATTTTAGTTACAATTAGCAGTCCATGTACTATATGGTCTAAGCTTTTCTTTCACGAAAAATTATTCATTGTTTATCTCATTTCCATGGTAAAATGAAAACTGGCCGTCTTTCTATTTGCGACGAAAATTATTATTTTTGAAATCTCATTTTTATGTATTGACGATTCTACACAATTGCACAAAAAATGTTGTGTATACGACGGCCGCGTCATTCTTTAACGTCCTCAAAGTTGCCTTGCCTCGGCCGCAAGCGGCCTCGGCGCCAATCTTCTTTTCGGTACGTTAAAGAATGACTTCGCGGCCTAAGTATACAAATAACTATAAAATTACGTTTGACGTTTGGATGGTTTCACTCACATTAACAAATTCGAACCACGCATACTCGATCAAACATAATGAATTATTTTGTAAACGAATTTTGACGAAGAAAACTATTTGTAAAACATAAAATTGTGTATGTACCTACCACGGGCATAAACTGATGTTTATACTCTCGGGCGACTAAAAAGCTCTCGGGCCATAGGCCCTCGAGAATATAAACATTACTATTATGCCCTTACTTAATACATAAATAACTACAGAGTGAGCAACAAAGATTGAAGCGTGCCGCTTCAGCTAAATTGGCAATGTGCCGCTCATAGCATATGCTGATTTGATACAAGATACGAAATACGAATAGACGCACGTCACTGTGACAGCGCAGAACGTCATTTTCGTATACAACTCCATACAAAGAAGGTAGTTTTGATATTAATAGGAACAAGCGGTGATGACGCACGCTTCAATCATTGTTGCTCACTCTGTATTATATTCCATAGATGCAATGTATAATATTTGTTTTCGTATTTTTTGCATTATGCATTAAATAATCAAAGCATTCGAAGTCTTTTTATGAAATATCGGTGAAGTATAAAATCGCAGAATTGCGGAACGGTGAAAATGACGGTCGGTGAATTGTGATCGGTAAATTGTGATCGGTGAATCTTCCTAGACCCGAGAAATAAGCATAAATTTACGTATATTTTGGTAATAAACAATTTTTTTCTGTTTACTTGTCTTTTATTTATGGCGCACCGGAGGTTGAAAAAAAACGGCCCTCGTACCAATCTAGGCAATGCATAAATTAATACTTCATAAATTAAGGGTGCGTTTGCACGCCATGGTGTAAGAAAAGTGAACTAAGAAGTATTTTTGAAATATTCGTTGCTTTGTGCTGCCATCCCGAATCCGCGATCCCTATTTGTACTTCGTTAGGTCGCTGACACTCGCATACATTCGTCTTGAGATAAAATTAAAAATAGTATTTTGCTTATCTTTGGTTACCACCTGTAACTGTAAATATCGTTCCGTAACTCTAAAAAGGGAATTTAGTGATCTTGCGAAATAAATTCTACCTAAAAATACTTATTTACCATAATATGCGGTTTTGTTCAGTAATTCAATTGAATGCCAATAACAGTGCCTAATTGTAATTCCTGAAATGCCATTCAAAGTTGGGTTATGTTATGGATTATGTTTACCTGATTTTCTATTAACTGCAAAATAACAAAAAAAACCAGTACCTACCTAGGTAAGTAAAGTTGAGGATCTTTATTTTAATATAGTTCTAGTAATGGATTGTTTTAGGCTATCTTTCGACTGTACACATTTCCGAAGATTGACTTCCGACACCGAGTACATTTTTTTCCGATTATCATTTTACCGAACAATGTCATTGCAGTGCGTTTATATAAGGCCATCGGTCACATCATGGTCAGAACACGGTGCGGTCAATTATTGTAACCGTGTATTTCTGTACTGTTCATGTTCTGACCGTAACCTGACCGATAATAATGTGAATCGGCCTTAAGGAATACTCAGCCTTTATGATCACAAAGGACAATCCACGCAATATTTTTAGGAAAACCAGATTTGCAAGTCAGCAATACTAACTCATAATTGAATGTTATTTGTTTGGGTGTGAAATCATATTTTGATATAATACCGATAACATTGAGATCCTTCACTCAACGATTGAATTATTCAATGCCGATAGTATGTAGTTCATTCAAATTATGGGAACCAAGATGGCATCCAATCGGTGGGGTTTCGTTATTATTAATAGTGCTTAAATTTAGTTGTAAGTGACGTGTACATTTATTATCGAATAAATATATAATCTTCAGTTACTGATTTCTTGCAGAGTTGTCTGATAGCACTTCCGAGGTGTAAATACCATCGTACAAGTCGACAGTGCTATTAGATAGCAACTTGGGCGAGAGTATTCTTGCCCATAAGTAGCGCTTCGTCTGGTAAACGTAAGCAGTATTAACACTGTATTATCAATTCAGAAACACCATCCCACATAACCTCTTTTTGTTGTAAGCTCTGAAATTTTTATATTAATTAATTATAACGTAGAGTGAAAAATCCCATGATCCTAAACTCAACGTTTATAAAGACTTCTTTTGCCAGTTTCCTAACCCAAATTTTGAATGTAGGTAACGTTAACCAGTGTAATTCCTACTTATGGTACGGTTTTTTGCTGGATACATTTTATCTGCATTAATAACCAACAAAGCCAATAAAGGAATAAGTTATACTGCTAAAAAATAGATACATTAATACATTCCAATAAGTACTCCACTTTAAATTTCCCGCTTTGTAAGAATAGTATACCGTAGCCATCTTAGTGGATACACGTTGAACTACACTGAGCACAGATTTCTTTTCTATAATTGTTTTACGAGTTATTTTTCAAGTGTACGGAGTTCATACCGTTTGTGCTTTAGAAACCACATATTATCCATTTTTACATCACGTTTTATTCCTTATATGTTCAAGAATCTGGAGAAACAATTTATATTTCAAAAACTTCTTTGACCTTTGAATTATACACAAAAGATTGCCATTGCAATCGAACGTCTACTTTATACACTTTCAGAGAATGTGCTATGAGTTTTAGTGCAATATAAACTGTTCACTCATAATTTACATACATTTAAGAACAAGAAACAACAAACATTTCCCAAAAAAAATGTATAGTTTTTAAAAACGGTATGAATTCCGTTAGGCATGTTTCCCATAAGAATGCTATTGTGAGATAGGCAACACACAATACTGATAGCGCGCCCTTAATATAAATGCATAAGTGCGGTACTTAAAACAAAACTTTTGAGCGTATCATGCTTCAATCAACATATATCTGCAAAATGTAAATAATAAGTTATACCTATATGACATAAAATTCAAAGGTTGATGGTTAGTACTAGAACCAATAAAATGATTACTACCTGTAATTACACTTTTCAAAATAAAACAAAGATATAGAAATATAGAGCGTCTCGTATTTTTTTCCCATTGTTGTAATGTGCGTTGTCTACCCGCAAGGGTATGTCACCACATTATTAAGGATCCTCCTTATAGTTTTGTATTGTCGTCCGTCCGCCCGTGTGCGCTCTAACTCTTTTTAAAAGTGGCCGATTGGGTTGAAATTAGATGTACGGGTACTTTGAACATTAAGGGCGGACGCTATTGATTTTCAGGAAGCTGGTTCAGCGGAAACAAAAGTTATAGGACTTCGAGTGAATCGGGAACAGGAAAATCTACGGGCTCAATATAATAGAAATCAAAACATTTCATTCCCTAGGTCATGTATCGAGTTCGGACTTTCGCTAGAGATTATTCCCTATTACTCTTAGATGTGTAACAGTTCAATATAGCTCTTCTCTGAGGTATAGCTCAAAAGTTTTAGAGCAAAATGTACCCAAAATTATTTTTTACACATGAATTTGGAGTTTTAAAGGTTTTCCAACGCATTATCTTCATGCTGAAAGAGTACATTAAATTATTTTTCTGAGGTCACATGAATTTTGAATCAAAATATGTCAAAATCGTTATTTATGCACCAATCTCGTTGCAAAAAAGACCAAGAACATTATCTCAATGACCAAAACTTGAATTTGATCTATTTTTGGCAACCACATGGACTTTGATCAAAACATCAAACTATCGTTATTCTTGCACTGATATCGTTGGCAAGATTAAGAGCATTATCTCAATGACAAAGACATGAATTTGATGCATTTTTGTTAACTAAGTGATTGTAATACCAAAGAGTAACTAATTGGTAATACTGAGGATCCTTCGATATTTCGTTGTATTGGTTTTTTTGAAGAAGCTCCTTGAACGCCCTGTTCCCGATGCCATTCAAGGCATGAATTTCCTGACCCTACGTTTGACGGCGTCGATAAAATCCAGATCCGTCGACCTTCTAGGCGTCCATGTGCCGGGTGACCCAATAAGACCGTTCTTCGGCCATATCTCGAGAACCGTTCGTCATATGACTTAAGGGAGAAAAAAATTATTGGCTAAATCGGTCATGAAGAATCGCTGGAAAATATGTTCAAGTTCTAAAAATGACTAACAGAGGGTGTAACTGCCATCTTAAATTTTAAAATTGCATTTTCTTTAAATTTCGCATAATGATCTAAAAAAAATTTTTTCACATTTTTAAAAAAACCAGTATATCTATAATTTTCGTAAAAACAAAAACTCAGTTATTTCAAAAACAAAGATGGTGTGGGGCGTTCAATTGTTTTTGCAATAACCTGCTTTAACTTCTTAACCGTTTGGCCGATTTTAACAAATTTGGTATTGTTGAAAAGAGCATTGAAGCAATGAGAATATAGTTAACTTAGTTGAATCCGTCTCCGCCAGGGGGCTAGTTTTGACACTGACCCAAAATCCTAAAAAAATCAAAAAAATCAAATGGAATGATATGAGTCTTTCTTTATGAAAAAGTAGCCAAATAACATCCAGAGAGGCCAGTGAAAACCGTTTTTCAAAATCTCGTTCCTAACCTCAAATATTGCGAAAATTAATAAAAACGCTTAAATTGTATCTTAAATTTACTTTTTACGTATTTCCGGTATTTGTCGATGGCGCGAAAGAAAAGGACGCTACACTTTTAGGTAGGCCTGGAAAATTAAACAAATGAAACACGATGCATTATAAAATAATAACAGCCGTAATTTGTAAATTATTCTGTTGTGTATACATTCATAAAGTGCAGTTTTTTGAATTTGTAATCTTTTCTAAAATGCGGATTTCTAACCAAGAAGCTTTTAATATGCTGGCGATATATTTTGAATATTTTCAAAATGCGATCATCGCTGCCCACATCTTCTATTTGCGATATCCGAATCGAACCATAGCTGCCAGCATATAAAATGCTTCTGGGTTAGAAATCAGAATTTTAGAAAAGATTACAAGTTCAAAAAACTGCACTTTCTGAATGTATACACAGCAGAATAATTTACAAATTACGGCTGTTATTATTTTATAATGCATCGTGTTTCATTTGTTTAATTTTCCAAGGCCTACCTAAAAGTGTAAGGTCCTTTTCCAAACAATCTTTCGCGCCATCGACAAATACCGGAAAATACGTCAAATAAGATACAATTTAAGCATTTTAATTAATTAAATAATTAATCTCATTTTCCCAATAGTTGAGGTCAGGAACTAGATTTTGAAAAACGGTTTTCACTGGCCTCTTTGGATGTTATTTGGCTACTTTTTCATAAAGAAAAAGTCATATCATTACATTTGATTTTTTTGATTTTTTTAGGATTTTGTGTCATAGTGTCAAAACTAGCATCCTGGCGGAGGCTAAATTAACTATATTCTCATTGCCTCAATGCTCTTTTCAACCATACCAAATTTGTTAAACTCGGTCAAACGGTTAAAGCAGGTTATTGCAAAAACAATTGAACGCCCCACACCATCTTTGTTTTTGAAATAACCGAGTTTTTGTTTTTACGAAAATGATAGATAAACTGGTTCTCTTTAAAAATGTGAAAAAAGAATGTTTAGTTTATTATGCGAAATTTAAAGAAAATGCAATTTTAAAATTTAAGATAGCAGTTACGCCCTCTCGTGGTCATTTGTAGAACTTGAAAATATTTTCCAGCGATTCTTCATAACCGATTTACCCAATAATTTTTTTACCCCATACGACGAACGGTTCCCGAGATATGGTCGAGGAACAGTCTTATTGGGTCACCCGGTACACCAGTCCACATGTGCAGTGGCACATCCGGATGCGGTGCTTAATGTCACTAGAGCGGTGCTATTATTTCGCCATCTATTAGTGATTCTTTTTGAGAGTATGCATTGTAAGTGGTGACATCTGTGTTGCTTTACGTCAATCATTAAACAAATGATGTTTACTGAAGTACTTTTAACCTACAAAATAATCGACCCTTTATACAATTACGATTGCAATTCACCTTACGTTCCTTTTTGAATAGATAAGCTAAAAGAACATAACACGTAATGGGCAACGTGGACACGAAGCTAAATTTTCGAAAGGCCGTCGTACAATTAACTTCAAAAACTGAGGTAATAACAAGGAAAAACTCTAAAATATGTTCACTAAAAATAATGTTTTTGTGTTTTAGCGTATCGATGTATCAGATGACGCATTTTGGGAACAGTTTTGGTCCGAAAATGTAACAAACATACAAGACATTTTCACACTGGTTCCGGCAACAGAGATTCGGTCATTACGTGAGGAGGCCCCAACGAATTTGGCCACCCTGTGTTATAAGGCGGTCGAAAAAATCGTCAAAGTAGTTGACAGCAGCTGTCGAACACAACACGAACAACAGACAGGTATTTAATCGCCAGAACAATAAAGTGGTAGCAATTTTTTGTAGCCTTAAACTGTGTTCGATTGCTGACGAGGATATTGCCGTACATTTTTGAAGACCCAGAGTGGAGAGGGTTCTTTTGGTCTTCTCTGCCTAATCAGTGCGAGAATGAAGAGGAACCGCTGCCTTTAGCACAATCACTGCAAAATGCAGTGTGTGTAAGTATTCGATAGTAACTAGGTAGGTAGATTTGATGATGAGGAATTTTGTGGTAAGAATTTCATTAACGGATGTGTGACCACAAATTAAGTCATTGATTAGATTTTTTTCTCGCCTTCTGTACTTGCTCTTAAGATTTGGAACAATCCTTTTAATTTACTGCAGCGCAATTAATAATACTTAGGTCTTTATTTAGACAAAGAAAAGAAAAACGTATTTCGTCATCAGAACCTGCAACTTTTAGTCAAGTCAGGCTACTTCACTTAACCCACGATACCCATCCTCTAAACGTAAATGTGTATACAAAATTACATTACTTAATGGTATAACTAGCGAAAAAAACATCAATATCATAACAACCAATAAAAAGATAAACTATGATTGAAGACAGAAATCCTAAAAAGAAGAGAAATAGAAAGAAAGAAAAATTAATCATTTCATTTAATTTTAATCAAGTAGGCTTAATTTCCGATTCCACCCATTCATTCACTTTTTCGTAGTTATTCGTTGCTGTTACTTAGAAATTTAAGGTGCAGGTGCTCTCTTTGTGAAGAATGTTGTGTTGACATTCCATCAGTATCTTCGTATGCACAGCATTAGGATTGTAGTAAATAAAAATGGTATAAGAAACTATCAAAAATTTAGAACGTAAACAAAGAAAAAAATGCAATTTCAGCCCAGACGTAATTAAATTGAAGGTTATGTTTATTTTAAGTATTCAACTCAATCTCATGGTATTGTCCCGTATGACATTTCCAACGTTAGCATACAAATTTGAATACAAATTAGTACATTATAATACAAACACCTACAAAACGAATTCCATTAATTTTAGATAAACCAAATTACTTAAGTACCTAATTAACTTAAATTCATGGTCATTAATTGAATCTTAAAGTAACAAAACCAGTCGGTAGACGGTATAGCTACCTAAAAGTAGTTCAGAACCACAGAAGTGCGTCCGGAAGGACGTGCGAAACTCGAGCAATAGCAATTTGCTTTCATTTATAAAATGCGCCACAAAGAAACCTTCAAGTATTTACAGAGGGTCTTCCCAATTTCCTTTCGTAACTAAATCTTTCTTTTGCGGCGAACTTTGGTAGGAAGTCCGCACACAAATGGATTGAAAATTAAACAATCTAATTAGTGGACTCAAAATTAAAATTTAATTCAAAGAAAAATAAATAAATTTACAATTTATTGGAAAAGTAGTGACAGAAGGCGGCAACCTGGATGTGATGGCGGACGGACTCGAGTGCCACCAGAAGATTATAGCCTTTTTTCTGGCCAAGGTCGCTGATATCGGAACAGTCTCGAAGGTTTATCATAATCAGTAGCTACGGTAACGTCCAGGGAAGCAGCTAAAACTGATTTACGGCACACTTAATTAATTGGCGGTAGCTACAGGAAATCAAATACAGGAAAAGGAAAGCAAGAAAATAATTAGTTGAAGAAAGCTAGCAAGCTTACTTTACGGTGATAAAATCGTAAAACGTACAGTGAAAATTGCCAAAAAATCTTGCTATTTGATTAACACACCAACGGAAAAGACCCCCCTCTAAACAGCGGCTTTACTAAAAATTCAGCCATTTCATGAGGGACCGACGGTTTTTCTAGCTGACCCAGCGTATTCGATTTATAACGTACAAAAATTAATAATAATAATAATAATAATTTATTGTCCAAACAGACTATCTTTATTTAATTGTGTGGCCTGCGATAAACATAAAAATCTGTAATTGGTCTTAAAATGTTGCTCATTTAGGCGGGCCTCTAATGAAACCTATCACGACTGGTTCAGATGAGATTTATTGCAACTCATTTAAACACTTACTTCATTTGCCGGATTAAAATTTCCAAATTCGGTAGCACAGTAATGCCCATTGTTACCTAGAATTTCGGGTCAATCGCAACAGGTCTGCGACCTTGCAGCTTTAATGCTCGTTTTAAATTGACATAGGAAACCAAAATCAACCAATAATTACTTAAATGCGCCGAAATTCTAAAATATTAATTTTTCCCTTAGTTCCGATGCAGAGAACTCGGATGCTACACAAATAATTTACATATCTCTACCGGAATAATTATAAAACTGATATCAATTTATATATGTATACAGCAACTGGTTTTCCTATCGGCGACTAAGACGGCGCTAGAAATTAAAACAGATACTTTTACCTTCTGTTTCCAACTCCGAAAAGAAGTAAATACTTTCGGAACAACACTTTGCGTAACGCTTCTAGACCCTGGGCGTTCAATAAAGCTGGTAGCGGTCATGTACAGTGTGTTCATAAATTCCTATATGATAACTTAAGTGCTTTGTTTCATTTTTTGCGACGGTACGCTTTAATTCTACCCCCAGTCTATGTCCTAGGCGTTAGTGGTCCAAAAAGATATGTGATCGAAACCACAGTGTGAACTGGTAGTTAATATACTGAGTGGTTCTCAAAACTGGCTCGCGTCTATATCAGTCAATTCAATTGTTTTTTGACACTTCCTGTTTAGTCTGAAAGTGGCTCAATTTTCGATTTTTAAATGAGACGCGTTGTATTTTTTGTTTATTTTGATAGAAAAGAGATTCTAAGAACTGTGACACCTAATTTGTCACATTTTGGTTGATATGTGGTCAAGTAGCCTATGAAAAATACACTATTACAAACGCGTTTAAATAAAATACTGTGGCTCATTTCGTTCTTATAAAAGAGGATTGTTCTATGAATACTTCGATACAATGCACGACTATCCATTTTAAATGGTTTAACGCACTCTAGGTAGAATAAAATGAGACAAAATTAGACAATCTGTCAAAAAGTGACAAGTTGAGTGTGATATTGGATACGAAAAATGTGAACACTATCCGGATCGCACCATGGGTTCGAATAAATGCACGATTAACACACATGAAAAGAACGATAATCAAAATTCCTGAAAAAAAGGGACGCTTGTTTGGACAAATTTCCCCGCACGCAGGTGTCTACAAAAGAAATAAGAAAATTGTAGTTACTTAGTTTTTTTCTATTTTAATAATCCTAATATGACGCCCTTAACTCCACACACAAACGCTGCTTCTTCATTTTACTTTTCTTTAACACGCAAATTTTGATGACAAGCAACATTAACTCAATGAATGAAATTACGAGCTGCCAGTGGCTATTCAATAGTAAACACTTTTAACTTTGATAATAAGAGAACCTTGTCTAAAGATCTAACAGTCCCCGTAATTGCTTCCTTTATCTCAACTTGACCAACTTTCTGTCTGTACAGAAATATTATGAAAATGACGAACTGCGTCTTCAATCAATCAAATAGCGTTAAGAAACATACGATTTCCAACCGTCGCCAACCAGTTTGCTTGCAATATTTAACGAAACACCACCTCGATTACAGAATAATCTCCCTCGTATTTTCCAAAAATGCACCAATTACAAGTAGATTAAATAACGCCGGCTGTAAAGGAACGCGTCCCCACTTACGCCGAAAATAATGCGAACATCGTTGACCACCTGCATCTCTTGTTATCAGCATCAGAACATGTGCGTTTATTAAATTACATTTGAGAACACTCTGTATCATAAACCCTTAAATAAACCCTTTATAAAAATACACAAACCTGATCAGGTTCTTACTTAATGGACAAAACCAAAAGGAAAAATAACACTGAGCCACAAATTCAAGTAAAACGAACCAACTCTGCGTTTATTCATAAATAACACCCCCCTCTCCGCAATTTACAGTTTAAGAAATTGAAATATTTCTCATATACAGGGTGTCTCTTCATTATCTATTAGCACCGGCAATACGAAAACAAGAACATAATTGTGTAACAGATTGATCTAATTCTAATACAACCTTCACATGCCATGCATGCATTTCAGAAAAAGTTTCACTACTCCATTGTTTCCTGTACAAATTTCATTGTTTTAGGATCTTTTATTTTGTCCTGACTTCACCGTAATGGGAGCACGTAAACTTGGCCCTGTAAGTGCATTCACCACTGAATTGTAAGATTTACAAAAAGAAACCGTTTGCAGGATAAAGCCGAAGACTTATTAGCTATAGACAGTTGCGAGTATATCTGGGAGGCCGGAGTCGGATTCGCGCATTCCCCGCCGAGGAATACCATTTTCGACTCGAACCGCACGGAGCTGATCAAATTACTTTTGACATGTTTCAGCGAAACAATTTATCAGCCGCCGTCCGAAATATCGATAAATCCAAATAAGTGGATTATGTGAGTAGACTCACGCACACACACTAAGCTACCTATACTTTTAGGCACCTAACTTCGGCCGACAATCGCCACGCCCTCCCCATGTTTACCTCACTGTTAAATACGGTATGCGCCTATGATCCGGTTGGTTTGGGCGTGCCGTACAACCATTTATTATTCAACGATTCCCTGGAACCGTTAGTAGAGGCTGCTTTACAAATTCTCATCGTAACCTTAGACTACGATACCAGTAACAGCACGACTACGTCGGACTCGGAAGAAGCCCCAACACCCGATAACCTTTTCATTAATTATTTATCGAGAATTCACAGAGACGAGGATTTCCATTTTATACTGAGAGGCGTTACGAGGTTGCTTAACAATCCTCTTGTCCAGACGTACCTACCGAATTCCACCAAGAAGGTTTACTTTCATCAGGAGTTACTTATATTTTTCTGGAAAATGTGCGACTATAATAAGGTATGCGTTGTTTGGGTCGGTAAGTGTAATATTGTAATTTTTCTAGAAATTTCTGTACTTTGTTTTGAAAAGTAGCGACGTACTTGAAGTCTTAGTTCCGGTGCTGTATCATTTGAATGACTCCAGAGCAGATCAGTGTAAGTAGTTTTCATCTTTTAAACGCTAGCTGTGAATTTCAGGTGTTAAATCATAATTAATTGAGTAAGTGAAATTCATCCACGCTTCTCGCATCAATATTCAGTGCTTTCATTTTTTCCTTTGTAAATGCCAGTAGAGAATGTAACGGGTGGTCGCTTTAGAATGTCAAAAATATATCTTAGATTTTGTATTTTATTCGACGAAAATTTACAAATATGCCGCTTTTTAGCGAACATGAACAAAAATATGTCTGGACATAAAATGCGTGCATTTTTGATAAAGGTGTGCATTTTTGAGATAAAACGGGGTTTTTAGGCAGACCAATATGCGAACTTATTCAATTTACTGACTATATTGCAGTTGATTTTAAACTTCAATGAATTTATTGAATTTTGTAGCTCGAGTGGGTTTAATGCATATCGGAGTATTTATCTTGCTTCTTTTATCTGGCGAGCGAAATTTCGGAGTACGCCTCAACAAGCCTTACACCGCAACAATTCCGATGGACATTCCCGTGTTTACCGGCACTCACGCGGACCTGCTGATTATCGTATTTCACAAGATCATAACGACCGGACATCAACGTCTGCAGCCGTTATTTGACTGCCTTTTGACTATTCTAGTAAATGGTTCGTACTCGATTTTTCCCAAATCCTGATTAATGCAGAAGTCTCTCTTGCAGTCTCCCCTTATTTAAAAACCCTATCCATGGTGGCAAGCACGAAACTGTTACACCTACTGGAGGCGTTCAGCACGCCTTGGTTTTTATTTTCGTCCCCCTCCCACCACCATTTAGTATTCTTCCTTTTAGAAATATTCAACAACATTATCCAGTATCAGTTTGACGGTAAGCTCCCAACTTTTCTCATTCGTTCGACTAATAAACCAATCGGTAGGTAACTCCAATTTGGTTTACACGATTATACGTAAACGGCAGGTTTTTCATAGTTTAGCGAATTTGCCGTGCGACTACGGAAGCATCGCGAAATCCCTCAACAAAAAAATCAAAAATCACCTGCCCAAGTCGGTGAGTCATGAAAACGTGCAGGAACTGGCGATGGACGGTTCGCATCCCGCCCTACCCGCGGAACCGGGAACGCTAAAGGCGTCTTTGCCCGACACACCCGGCATTACCCAAATGACCGAGAAAGAGTCGGCGCACCCGGCGTATCAGCAATTGGATCAGTTACCGCTAACAAATGGCATGGCATCTTTGAATTTAAATACGTCCGGCTGCAGCGGTGGCTTCGACAAGAACGAGCAAAAAGACATGAATGTAAATTTAACGGACCCTTCAATACAGCCGGACAAATCTCGAACGGATGACCTGACGACACCCCTAAAACATTCGGTCAACACAGTAAGTCGAACTTTTAGCGTCGCGTTACACATCTCGTTTTCTTTTAGCGTAACAGTTTGCGCGTATCGGCAACATCTGATAGAATGGTGAGCCAATGGGTGCCGACTGGTGAATGGGTGCAATCATGGAAAAGCAAACTACCCTTGCAAACGATTATGAGGTTACTGCAGGTTTTAGTACCACAAGTTGAGAAAATTTGCATTGACAAGTAGGTGAACAAATTTTAATCCAATCGCATGACAGTGTTTACCTAGGGGCCTTACTGATGAAAGTGAAATTTTGAAATTTTTACAACATGGTACACTAGTCGGACTACTGCCCGTTCCCCATCCCATTTTGATCAGGAAATACCAGGCAAATACTGGAACCACAGTTTGGTTTCGAACCTACATGTGGGGCATTATCTATCTCAGGTAACTTAATCTTCGATTCTATTAGTAGTGTTTTTATTTATTTTTAGGAATGTGGAACCGCCAATATGGTATGATACGGACGTTAAATTATTTGAAATTCAAAAAGTGTAAGTTTAAATGTCTATTTATTATTTATTGCGTAGCATTCCAGTATATGTTGTAATTTTCGTAGATTGTGATATAACTACTATCGACCATATTTTTGTATTTACCTCTTTTTTTGTTTAAAATGCTTTAATAAGTGTAAATTAATTTATTGCTTTGTATCATATTATAGAAATGTATATCTAATTGTTAATTAAATTATTTACCGTCGATCTTTCTCTTAATAACTTCAACTGGTCCTTCCAGTCTCATATTTTTGAGAACTTCGGACTGTGATAAATAAACAATAAGGTTTATGGTTTGCAAACCTCTAACTTGCATTTATTACTTCACAATCAAACGTACATCACAGAACCTACCACCTATCCAATGTTGCAAACATGGGAAAAGGGAATTGGAGCACCCTTTCTTGTAGTGCCGAGACACAGGAGTTGCACTCCTACAGGGCAAACAGCACACTGACAATTCCATGTTAATACAAAGAAACAAAACACGATTTGTAACGTTACTTAAGACAAAAGGTTGAACCATCGAAATCCAATAACCACGTTAGCCAAACTTGATTGCGAAAAACTAGTTTACAAATAAACCTGCAAAATAGAGAAAGAATGGAATAGCAACGGAAAAGCCAATAACAACACAAATGCAAAGAACAATAAGGGATAGTGGGGTAAGAACGCTTTGATTACACGGTGTGTATAATGATACAAATTTTATTAAATTATACATCATTGAATAAGTGCTTATTCAATGGCACAGAATATTCAGAAGCCAAAAATCCAAATTTTCATTTTTATTCAGAGCTGCCCACTAGTTTCAACCAACTTAACCTCAATACCAAACAAGTTAAAAATATTTTCGAGTGACTGATACCGAAAATGAATCAAAAACAGTACGATGGTTGAAGAGTGTAGGAGCTAGGGAAGTTAGCTGAAACTACTGCTGAAGAAAAGCAAAAGTAGAGAAAGATGGGAAATGAACACGTACCTACCTAAGCTATTATATAAGTTTCAATTAAACTTAAAAAATATGTTTATGCAAGTGAATGATGTATTTTAATGCTGTGTATTATTTATTTTATGTAATTAATAATAATTTATCTTTTTTTAATTTATTTATTCACGTTGGAACCCTTAACAAACTGAAAAAACGACTGGAACCGGAACCCAAAATTATTGAAGTCACAGAACCGGTACCTACCGGAACCCTTACAAAATAATTCTATCTAAATAGTGCGGAACTGGAAACCATATTTCCTATGGGTTCCAACCCCTGCGCATGGCACACATATATATAGATTCACAATAGAAGAATTTATGTTTAGCACGGCACAAATTTAAAGGAATGACCGTCAAATATATAAATTAAACTTCAGGTTAGGGCATATGTATAGGCACAGACAGGTAATCAAAACATAACTCATAAATTGATCAAAAGATTTACAACAGTTTCAACTAATGAAAGTTAACAGGCATTTTCCATACACGTGATGCAGCATTGAGGTTAAATCATGTCAATCTCAAAAACAATAGGTAAGTATAATAAGTAGAGGACGGATTTCATGCTTTTATGTATTACGTAAATAGTGCATATTTTGCATTTTTGGGGTTTTTGTGCATATTTAAGAAAGATTAGCATTTTATTAACTTTTTAGACCATTTTTATTACAAGACAAGTTTCCAGTGGTAGTAATTACAACAATTATATTTTTATTTATAAATTATGAAGATATACAAATAATAATAATCAAATAAAATAAAAATTATAAAATAGAAACAGAACAAAAGAGAACAATAAAATTAGAAAAAAAATAAAAAGAAAAAAAACAAAAAGCAAAAGAAAAGAATAAAAAACTAAATGAAATACAAAATATGGCGCCCAAATTTATCAAATTATAAAACGTCGGCGGTGTTCAATTCAGCATTAATTTTTCAAGTTTAACAAATGAGATGACGAATGTTGGCCGAGGAAAATGTTGAATTAAAGAAATTTCAATGATTTTTGGGCATTATTTAATTTTCCATGCATATATTCATGCTTTTTTGCCATATTTTTTGTGCATATTTATGTGCATTTTTAGCGTGTTTTCATGCATAGGTATAAGTCCGGTCCCTAATAATAAGGTTTAAAATTATTTAATAAAATTTAAATGTTATACAAAACACAAATAATAATAATAATAGTCATTTATGGGATAACGTACAAAAGAAACAATACATAATTCTAGTGAATATTAAACTAAATTTATTACGCTATACCAAAAGGGCGAAGTTCAGATATGTAGTGCAAACTACAATCTGTTCTACCACTTAACCCTAAAATAAATGATAAAGAAATGCACTTGCGTTATAATAACACAAAAAAACAACAACCTTAAAGTATATATATGATCTCCTCTTGACGATAGTTTAAATTTAAACCAAGATGGTTCAGATTGCTGTAAGAAGCATTTCGTGCTCTCGAGGCGCCCCAGGGTCTGTATTTCTTGATAGACCTGTCAAATCTTATTTTTTCAATGAAGTTTAAGCGCACTTTATTTCTCAATGGGAATCGATAGATTTTCTATTCATGAACAAATGTTTAAAAATCCCAAAAATCCATCGTGAGCTAAATGCAAGATCATGAAATATCGTGCCCGCCTCTTGAAATTTTTAAAAATTAACGATTTTCTTAATTCTTGGAACTGTGTTTTTTTTATTTGTACAGAAATTTAAACCTACCTAATAACATATAGAGTATTTACTCTATGCTATTAAGCACAAACAAATTTCTTTTCATTAACTTTTCAATCAATCTTTATTAGACGCCAGCTAGCAAATTTTATTACAAAATAAACTAAAATAGTTATTTGTTTCATTAGTACAAAAAATGTCAGTTTTCGGGACGAGGAAGATAGTTGCTGGACGACGCGTTAGCGGAGTCCAGCAACCTTCCGAGTCTCGAAAACGCATTTTTTGTACGAATAAAACATAAAATTTTTTCTCCAACCCCCTTTACTTTAAATTATATTCGAATTTAGATTCAGTTCACAGTTTCACTACTAGTTTGAGAACTTCTGCTTTCTTGTCCTCACGTGTCATGCCACTGTAGTATTTAGGTTAACTTATAACCTATTCGTTCCTACTTCTCACCTCTCGCGACTTTGTAGGGACCAAATCTAAGGTAGCATGTTCTGCCGTTTTTATAATCTCTGGCGGAGTGCTATCCATGTCGCTATCAGTTTCAGACGTTTCAGTCTATTGTATACAAAATTAATATTGTTATATTTTGTATTGAAATAAAAAACTTACCATACAGTTTTTTAATTAAAATTAATTGCAATTAACTTTTTCAAATTTTGAATTCAAAATGACAGATAATAGTGCAATGTGTCTTAAGTAGATGGCGTTACGCGCGACGGCCGGTTGTATACGTATTAAAATTACGTTCACCGAATATGTAAATTACGTTACACATGGTTTAAATAAAAATAGCGAGCGTAAATCATTTTCATTACATGTAGATACGTATAGGTAACAGCATTATTTGTATTGAATATGCAAAAATATTTGATTTGTACGTATAGAAATATCTTACAACCTGCAATGTAAAACGATGTCAATGTGACATATCTCCGTGATAGTAATTTTTTAATTGGCCAACTTTCAAGGTCAATTTCTTTTTGGTACTAGGACCAAAAGTATCCACTTTTTGTACAGTTGCCATGGTGATAGCGATTAATCCGCAAAACGTCAATTTTACGTATCGAACACTGTCACAAAATAGCGTCTTATTCAGGTGGTTGGAGAAAAATGTATTTTTTCCCATCTTTGCTTTCAAATCCGCACATTTTCCACTTCTTAACTCCAACCTCATTTTTATACTTCTCCGTGTCATTTTCACCTCCGCTCCGTACAGTTCCATAGTAGGTAGGTACAACTTACTTATAGCATGTGTCTTCTTCTTCCTCTCCGCCTATGCTACATTTTCTTTCTAACTTGTTTCAATTTCGCTTTCCCTCTATTCATTCCGCGTCTAATTCTCTATATTGGTTTAATATTTCCACCCCACAAATATTTTGGTATACCTAACCACCAGGGGTTGGAACCCATATGAAATACAGGTTCCCGTTCCGCACTTTTTAGGTAGAATTATTTTTTAAGGATTCCGGTTCTGTGGTTTCAGTAATTTTCGGTTCCGGTCCCAGTTCCAGTTTTTTTTCGGTTTTTAAGGGTTCTAACATAAATACTTACCTAAATAAAATTATTATTAAAAAATATAAATTATTACATATTAATTATAGAAAATAAATAATAGACAAAATTAAAGTGTGTAGGTATATCATTCTTTTGCATAAATATATTTATTATTTGGCTTAATTGGAACTCAATTTTAACTTACGCATTCGTTTCACTTTTGTCAACTGATGCCTTTGTTTTTCTACTTTCCTTTTTTTCGCAGCAGTAAGTAGTTTCAACTACTTATTGCTTTCCTCATGCATTCTTCAATCCTCTTATAGCTACCTACTGTATTTGATTCAGTTTCGCTCACTCTAAAATATTCTATATTTGTAGAAATTAGTGAGCAGCTCTGAATTAGAGAGAATTTGGAGTTTTGGCTTTTGAAATTTCTTGCAAGTTGCAAATTCTACAACTTTTAACGTAGTTCATAAAGCAACATTTTATTTTTGGCCATTAAGTGGATAAAGGATCAGTCACCGGCGACAAGGAATTCGATCGGATATGATCAAAGAGTACCCACTCTTTGATATTATGACGTGTGCTTTCCAGAAAGTAAGATACCTATGCTGACTCTAGAATTCTCTATACATGCTATTCGTTTGCTACCTATATTTAGCAAATTGAATAATATTAATGTACGTATCTACTCTACCTACAAGACAGAGAGAACCGAAACATACCGATTCTTTAGCACTATAATAATAACGGTACCTGTATCGGTTCCGGTTATCATAACTTCTTAAATAACGGTTCCGGTTCCAAGTAGGTAAAGCGCTTATGAATGCAATCTGTTCCGGTTCCGGTACCGGTTCTTTTCGGTTTCGGTTCCAACCCCTGCTAACCACTCGTTATTAGCTCTTTAGTCTTTATTAATTACTACCTCATGCGTGCTCTATCTTTACAATCTGTTGTTGTATTTGTGTATCCAGATCCATTTTTACCAGCTCATTTTCTATCTTTTTTCCTACTCCTCTCCTCCTTCCGACCTTAGCCTCCCGTATCTATCTTCGCAATATTTTCCTCTTTGTATTCTTCCTATACATTCCTTTTGCGTTCATACTGCACAAATTGACTTAAAAACACACAAATAAACATATTGGGCGCGGTCTGTGTCTGTGTATCGTGTTCATGGTGCGTACCGCGTGCCGCGAAATTTAAGCGGACGTGCATAAATTGTAGTTTAAAAAAATAACGCAAGCGGCCATGTTTTTTTAAATGGTGGCTTTAGCTCGCTTCCGATTTTGTGGGATTTGTAAAGTTGCATTCTATGGTACACGACTCACGACCTATTGTTTTCAACAAAAAAATAAATGTTCGCAAAGACTTCACAATTGACCTATATTTTTTGCAAATTTGCGCTAAATGCGCGGTCAACTCTCAGGGAAGTGGGCGTGGTTCACCTTAAAACGGCGAATGTTATTCTTGAACACGTGACTTATAGGGAATGAACCATATATATAAGAACTAGAGTCATTGAGTTAGAAAACTAATGGAGGGAATCAAATGCTTGGCCAGACGTAGACCACGGGACGTTGAGATAAAAGGCCTAAACTCCGTACAATCTGCGCATGCGAAAGAAACGTCAAAGTTGCAATGTTATTAATTAAAATGTAGGTTAGGTTATTGTTTTCATCACAAGCTGGTATCTGTTATAATGAATAAACATATTCGTAAATCGTAATGTACATTTAAACTCACAGACTTTTGACGTTGTTATGCCAAGAGCCATGTTTCGCTGCGGCAGTATAAAATTCGAAAAGGACAGTATAAGCCCCATGTTCACAAATCGTAACCCAAGACATTTCAAATACCTACGAATCGCTAATAAACCGGACGGCTACTACGGTGATAAAACTGGAACGCTCCTACTGGCATAAATATACAAATTTGCTTTCCTACCGCCTCCAATAAGACAGCCCGATTGTAGATGACAACCGACACAAACAGGCCGTCACGTAACTTCATTGTTCGTGCATTACATCAACGGACCCGACACTCACCGCTAGCACGAAGGAATGGGCCATCAAAACCAGGCTGTATAAGACCATGCATCAAGTCGTTGGCGTACGTGAACGTCACACGGTCACGTCCCTGCATTCAATTTAATGTGTGCTACTTTTAGGTTTCAGTTCTTCGTACAAAGATACCTTGCAAGCGGTCCGACAGAGTTTATGTGCGATTGCAAACCCGAACACAACGGCAGTAAGGTCACAAAGTTTCTAACGTGCTCCAAGATTTCAATTTGAAATTGTCTGAACCGGAATAGTCAAGAGAGCCGTGGACGAGAGAAAGATTACCAAACCCGTGGGATATAATCTGACTTGACAGATAATGTGAATCGATCTTAAATTGTGGACCTATTAGGTAAATAGCTGCATAATTTACAATAAAGTTTTATTTGTACTTGTGCTTCCATAGTTTCTGTAAAGAGAAGGCTGAGTATTGGGTCGCTGCAATGAAGTGATAGAAAGCCCTACGTTCAGTCTGTCGAGATGCTTCCCTGTTTCTAACTCAAAGGTTCTTCCAAAGAAGGTGCTTATTACTAATTTCTAGATTGCATGAAAAACCGTTTATTTGATTTTTTAAGAAGAAGTTAATGGGTTTCAAGAACAATAAATTTGATAAATATGTAAACTTTTTATTGCTTACCAATATTTTAAACATTAAATAATAATAAATTACACAATAATAAAAAGGGCACCTTAGTTATAGTGAATTGGCAATTTCAAATTGAAATCTTGGAGCACATTAGAAACTTTGCGACCTTACTGACGTTGTGTTCGGGTTTGCAATCGCACATAAACTCTGTCGGACCGCTTGCAAGGCATCTTTGTACTAAGAACTGAAACCTACAAGTAGCAAACATTAAATTGAATGCAGGGACGTTCACGTACGCCAACGACTTGGTGCATGGTCTTATACAGCCGGGTTTTGAGGGGCCATTCCTTCGTGCTAGCGGTGAGTGTCGGGTCCATTGATGTAATGCACAAACAATAAAGTTACGTGACGGCCTGTTTGTGTCAGTTGTCATCTACAATCTGGCTGTCTTATTGGAGGCGGTAGGAAAGCAAATTTGTATATTTATGCCAGTAGGAGCGTTCCAGTTTTATCACCGTAGTAGCCGTCCGGTTTATTAGCGATTCGTAGGTATTTGAAATGTCTTGGGTTACGATTTGTGAACATGGGGCTTATACTGTCCTTTTCGGATTTTATACTGCCGCAGCGAAACATGGCTCTTGGTATAACAACGTCAAAAGTCTGTGAGTTTAAATGTACATTACGATTTACGAATATATTTGTTCATTATAACAGCCTGTGATGAAAACAATAACCCAACCTACATTTTAATGAATAACATTGCAACTTTGACGTTTCTTTCGCATGCGCAGATTGTACGGAGTTTAGGCCTTTTATCTCAACGTGACCACGGGAACCAAAAGTGGCTTCTAGCTGTGATTAAAGTACCACACCACTTCCGTTATCATTAGCGTCTCACTTCAGTGGCGTAGAGATATAATTTTCTTTCCACTAATAGGAATAATAACAAAAAAAAAGTATAGAAGGAGTAAAATATATATGCTCTTGGTAAAGTAAACAAAATAGACAAGGATGGGAAAGTATGCGGATTTAATATAATCATTGATTACAAATCTAAATATACATGTGCGTTCCAGTAGTATAATTAAGGCCAGTTTACTATAACCACTACAACTTGACAACTCCCATTAAATTCACTGTGTTGATCAATAGCTACAATTGACTGGTTGGTCTCAGGTTCATTACAACGGCAGAGAGATTCAATAATAATTTATTGTTTAATTGGTCTCAAAATGTATCCGCACTCGTAAAAAAACTTGCACCTGATATCCATATTATAAACTCACACGTTTAGCTGTAAAAACAAGTTTTGATAGTACCTACTGCATATTTGATGAATTTTCCGGTGCAACCTTTGGTAGAAATCACAGTCAATGAAGCGTTGTGAGCACAAAAGCAAATTTCGAGACCTGTTCTTGAGATATATTTACAAATGTTAGGTAACCATTTTGCTCGAAGTACTGGTTCGTTTGGAAAACTAAGAAACATAAACTAGGTACCTACAACCTCGCCTACAACATGATAAATGACATGTCTTACCGATGAAAGGAAATGCCCTGTTTCTTCCCTTTATGAGAAATTTTGCATGCTACGCAGCTAATCATTCTCAATTCACAAAATTGCGTGTGATAAAAACACTATGCGGCAGTTAGATATTTATATAAACCAGAGCACAAACCGATCCGAAATTATTAGGTACTTTAAAATGGCAAATTTAATAAAATTTGAATTTGGTGGAAAACTGACAGTGACAGGACCCGCGTTTTCGTATGTCAAATAATGTCGGCCAAAATGTACCTTCACGGGAAACTATCCACGCGAGTGGCCTCTGTCTGTGGCAACTTCCGTCTACAAAAATTCTTACCCCCTCTACCATTATATTCCCTATTAGTTTTATGACTAGAGTCTATTATAGACGCATTGAATTTTAAATTCAATGATAGACGTTATAAACCCATCGCGGGAGTTTATTTTCTCTTACGTAAAAGGCGGGGAGAATACGACACTCACCGGTTTAAGGTGGCCACGCCTACTTCCCAGAGAAGTTCTCCTCCCAGAAATTCAAGAAAAGGGACGCGAGAGTGAAGGCGAGCTAGTATCCCGGGAACTCCTTTTGCAGAAATTCAAAAATATGACCCAGACAGGTTTTCCCTTTTTCTAACCACTAACCAGTCCCGCGGTTGCCAACTCTCAAAAATGTGTGTATCATGTAAGTTATATATACAGGGTGCAACCTCTCAAATTTAAATCTAACAAAAACATTACTCTTGAGGTTCGAGTAACTTTTAGACAGTCATGATTCTAATACCTACAGTAAGTATAAACGAAAGCAATTAATCACAAAGAAAATCAATTTAACTACTATTATACATTATTCTTAATGATAAAACCCTTGAGTAACTAGGCCAATAATTTCAAAAGATGGAATCATTTTATTTTATTATAGTTTTGTGTAAAAGGATACTCCCGTCATGCTATCGGGACGTTTGCATAGAATACAAATTAATGTAACCTACCAAAGTAGACGTATTTAACAATCAAGATTAGTACCTACTAATACAGTATGTAGAAATAATGACAATATATTCACATACAAAAATTTACAATAATTTATAACGCAAATCACAACTTAAATAATAATGTTAAGTATATACAACCGACAAGAGCTTCACTTACTCAGAAAAAAATTCAAACCGTTTGATTCTTGTAAAATTTAAAAAATCTTATTCTATACTTAAATATACTTGAATATTATCTACGAATTTTAAAACCCTTAGTACCGTCTGGACCTTTTGGAAGTCTAACGACACTATCTACCTCGCATCGTACTGGTTTACTTTGTATACTGCATATGACTTTTTCCTCTACTCCGTCCGAGTTTTGTGCTTCACCTAATATTCTGAGCCGAGCTTGAGCGTATTCTTCTTCGCGCTGTTGTAAGGTTTTTTTGGGTTGTTGTACTTTGCCATCACTCGTTAGGGTGTTTCTAATAGGTCTCTTAAGTATTTTCACCGTCGGTTCAGGAGGCACATATTGAGATCGTAAGGCATCATCACCTGTTAAAATGATATTGATTGGGGTTCCGTTTGTTCCATTAAAGCATCTAAAAACTACATGTTTATTTGCTGTACACATTTTGAGCCTACTTACACGTTATTTTCTATATCTATCCTATTCGAAGACACCAGTGTCTGCAGTTTCTCATCGAAAACCTGAAAAAAGGAAGCAGATACCGTTCACCTAAACTCTAATCTTAATAAAAACAAACAAAAAAGTTTAATTAGAAAATTGATTACATCAGTGCCGTCGATATCTTCCCAGCTTTCAATGTCTATATCTGCTTTGTTAGCCATATTCTTTTTGATTTTTGACGCATAATTTTAGGTTAATTTATTTCAATTGGATACGGTAACGTTTAATTAAAATTGCAAAACGTAAGTCGACCGATTGGCAAATCCGTTTTATTTTCATTTTAAAACTTAAACGAGGAAATTATATCACACGAAAGATTTACCAAAATTACGGTATTTGTCATTATAGGAAATGACGTTCGTCTTTTGCACACCGAAATTTTGGTAGTTGGCACGCAACAGAAACAGACGGTCACAAATTACGTGACTGCAAAACTATAACAGTTATCTTATAATTGCAGTCAATGGTTACAGCTGATTAGAACAAAGAGCATAGATAAAAATTGTAAACATGATGACTAATACTAAATCGCAAAGAGAACTCGTTGCTAAATCGGGTTGAACCATTTTAAAATTCCCGGTTGGCGGTTGAACACCTCTCCCCGCCCCACCCGTTTGAAATAGAGCCATCTCTCCGCGACGGACAGATATTAGATTTGAGGATGCCGCGAAAGTTTTATAATTTCAAACTGCTCGCAATGATTATGCAGAGAAAATATTACAAAAACGTACGATACCAGACGCAAGTGCATGTAGAGAGAGAGCTCCACCCCTCCACGGTAAATCAAAAACCACTGATATGTAAAAAAAATCAGTGAAAAAAGGAAAAGGCACCTTAGATCATTTAAACCTCTCGCCAGGAAAGATTGCCGGTCACAGAACACTTGATCCCGGTCTACAATCTATGTTTTTCTAAAGATGTGAGCGACTTCCGGGATAGTATCATCATTGAATTTATAAATTCAATGGTATCGTGTCAATGTTGAACAAAAAGACTTTTCGTTCAACATTGGCACGATCCTATTCCGGAAGTCGCTCGCATCTTAAGAAAAACATAGATTGTAGATCGACACAAGGTGTGCTGTGATCGGCAATCTTTCCTGGCGAGTTATATAACGGGTTTTCCAATAAGAGGTGCTATTTTGAGTAGCACCGAGATCTTGTGATATGACACCTTGCAACTTCTTCCTTTGGGGCCACGTGAAAGACAAGGTCTACGCCAACAGCCCAGCATCGATTCAAGACCTCAAAGAAGGAATTCGTGAGGCTATCGAGGACATAGGGCAGCCACATTGCGATTTGGTTATGGAAAATTTCATGAAAATGATATGGTCCTGTAGGCGTGGTCATTTAGCTGATGTTATTTTACATTATTAACGGCATACCTTCCTCTTTATAATGTAATTAATAACCGATCATTTATCTTAAAAAATGGAATTTTCTTTGAATATCAAAATAACATCTCTTATTGGAAAACCCTTTACAATGATCTAAGGAAGGCACCCACCGGGTGATTCTTTAAAAGTGATGATCATTTGAATTTCGTGCGTAAGGTTCTAGCTTTTTTTTGCATTATTAAATTGGTGGTATGAATTTCGTTAGTAATTTTTTCCGTCATACCTGCCATTTAAGTAACCAGTGTTGCCATTTTGAATAATTGTCATAGTCGATACACTGAAATATGTATGTGCCGAATATTCATGCTACCATTGACACCATACTGCCAGCGAATTACTTGAAAAGTAGTCAAAAATTGGTTCCAGTAATACTGGGCGTGGGCATACAATCATAATTTCCGACAACTACACCTAGCAGTGTTGTGATATATCTAGATATCTACTTGTAGCTAGATATAGTAAACTAGATAAACCTGTCGCCAGGAAAGATTGCCGGTCACAGAAGACCTGATCCCGGTCTACAATCTGTGTTTTTCTATGTGAGCGACTTCCGGGATAGTATTGTGTCAATATTGAACGAAAAGACTTTTCAACTACACTTCTTTCACATTTGTAAAAAAAAAACATTCCGAAGTCCCTTACATAAAGTACATAAAATACATTGTTAATTAGCCAAACCTTCTCCTGTCCAAAAGGCATCTGAAGGGCCTGGATACAGTTACCTTAAACTAGAGTTGTATTTCGAGATGAATGCCACTAAGTATCTTTATCACTTCAGCTTCGACCTGAGAGAATGTTTGGAATTAAAAGTGAAAAAATCGCAATATTAAAACGATTCATCAAATAAAGGCAGATTAAGGAAAATGTGAAATTACAGCCAGAAATTCGGGAAAATTCTAAAACATTTGAAATACATATTCCAAAATTAAAAACTTAATAATCTGTCGCTCTCAAAATAAGTACCTACACGGGGAGATTTTAATTTAAAAAGGTAGTTCTCTTTTCATGAATAATATTCAAAAAAGTATCAAGTGGTTCAAGAAAATTCAGATTCCAGAAGACTAAAGAGTTCAAAAAAGTACAAGGGGTTTTATTAAAAAAATTAGATTATATCTGATAACTTTTTGACTCCAGATACTTATATTGAAAACCGCATATTATTTAACAATCATAAGCTTCTGTATAGATACATAGGGCCATTTTGAAATTGACATTTTTTAAACTTTTCCTCATCTTATAAGTGAACAAAAATTTAAAATTTGAATTTTATTTATATATAAGTCTCCTGTCTGTTACAGTGTATACTATATACATCATCTTTAAATACATACCTATTCTATATGAGTGTCTTTGAAATACAGTAGGTACCTGCATATTTTTGGTATGGGTGTTCATCTTCTGAAAATACATTAACCCATTTTAAACAATTGCAATAAAATATTTCCGTAATACAATTTTAACTGTTGGTTACAACACAAATACAAATACAAGAAAGACATAAGAAATTATATGGATACTCATTACTAGAGTGCGGATAAAAATGCATTTATTTTTATAAAATAAGCGCTTATTATATGCATCAAAACGGGCAAAAAAGCTAAAAAAAGGCAAAGTAAGCAAACAAATGCACAATCAACCATCCACACAAAAAAAACCTGTATTCCTCAATAAAACATGATTATGATGAAACTAACTCTAATTATCGGAAAAACAATTAACAATTATGGATTTCTCCAAATTTGCAATTAAAAATTTTGCCTTCGGTCCGATAAAATATTTTTATAGACGGAAAAGCTTCTCTCGACATCTGCAGAGGTAATTGGTGCAAATTTAAAGAATTTAAAGTTTAATGGTGCTGTAGTATGTGCTTCTAAATCTTCAACGAAATTTCCGTTTAGCCTTTTGGAGATTTTCGAAAGAATATGAAAACCAGAATTTTTTGTTAGCACGTCCTCTAATTTCTTCTGAACTATATCGGCTATTAGACCGTTTATCTTATTTGTGTCTCTTTGAAAATCTACGATTTTAATTGATTCGTCAAGTGGCAAATTTGGGGATTCTAATTTTTTACAGTGCGCTATTCATTAAAAAAATGCAAATCCCAACATTCTTGCCCACATTAAGTTAATATGCGAGATATTATTCTAATCTCAGTGTAGAAATGTAAAAAAAGGCAAGAAAAAGCGTTTAAAGGCATTTAAAGCACCATTGTTAAAAAAAAGCAAAAAAGCCAAAATAAAAATAGCCTCAAACGCTTTCTTTTTTCATGAAACGTGTATATCCAAAACCATTATGTTCTGCATTCAACATTAAGGTGTAGGCAAAATGCCATAAATCCGCACTCTACTCATTACTGATTATCGACCTGCTACGGTAAGTAAATGCCATCAACAGTGAAGTGCTAATTACTACACTTATTCTGTATAAAATCTGATAAATATCTGTATAAAATAACCAAACTGTAACATACCTAACATATTACCTTAGTTTATATTAAAACATAAAATCTATATATGCCTTGATAATTTTTTTATGGTTGTGTAATCAGACTGGGCACATTTTTAATTTCATGGATGTTTTTGTGTGTGAACAAATGTTTTTTGAAATCGAATTTATAGTTGGACGCGTAATCACAATGATCACATTTGAAATCTTTGGAAGGCTTGTGTACCAACAGGTGTCTTTTTAAGTAGAATTTGTTATTGGTTGAGTAATTACACTGGGCACATTTGAAATCCTTGGAAGTTTTGTGTTTGAGCAGATGGTTTCTAAAACTAGATTTATAGTTAGAAGCATAAGCACACTGGGTACATTTCAAATCTTTGGAAACCTTGTGTGTGAACAAATGTTTTTTGAAGTCAGATTTATAGTTGGAAGCATAATCGCAATTAGCACATTTGAAATCCTTAGAAGGGTTGTGCACTAACAAATGTTTTTTTAAATGAGATTTAGTGTTGGATGCGTAATCACACTCGACACATTTGAAATCCTTGGAAGACTTGTGCCCCAGCAGGTGTCTTTTTAAATAGCATTCATTATTGGTTAAGTAATTACAGTGGACACATTTGAAATCTTTGGAAGCCTTGTGTGTAACCAAATGTTTTTTTAAATTGGACTTACAATTGGAAGCATACTCGCACTGGGCACATTTGAAATCCTTAGAAATCTCATGTCTTAACAGATGTCTGTTTAAATAGTATTTGTTAGCGGTTGCATATTCACACTGGGTACACTTGAAATCCTTGTCAATTTTGTGTGTAAGCAAATGTGCTTTTAAACAAGATGTCCTATTGGTCACGTAATCGCACTGGGTACATCCCAGATTTTCTAAAATTTGTGTATGTTGGAAAACAGACTTTGGGTAAGAGGCGTTGTAATTAAACTGATCTTCCTGCACCACTTGGTTTTCCTCTTCCTTCTTCACAAAATAATTTGTACACATTGGCATTGAATCGCCAATTTCCTGCTTAATTGTTTCAGACATCTCATTAGTGTGCCACAGTTTTTCATCAATGAATGCTTTTGTTTCTTCTTCTTGTTTCGGTTCAACTTTAACTTTCACAGACATTCTTTACACAATTTATCACTGCAACAAATTTCTATCAAATGTAAAATGAGAAGGGAAAGGAACGCCAATGAAATCGAATGCTGTGGTTAAAGTAGCGTTTTGATAATAGCAGTAAACAGAATAATAATTTTAGAGGTGTGAACATAGCATTTCTTAAGGCGGGACTTCACCAAACTGGAATAGGCCGGCGGCAGCCGCCGGGACAATCGGCCGGCTTTTGGCGAAGAAAAATTAGAAATAAACATTCTTTCGAGGCTGCTAGCATCGGCCGCTGGCATAATTTTGCTAGAGCGGCAGAGGGCAAGTGTCGGTACATATCAAAGGGATTTCAACAGGCCATCGCGGCCAGGGGCAGGCTCGTGCAAACGTGTGTTTTCAGTCATTTTTGCGTATTTGTGTCGAACGGTTCGTTGTTCACGTGTTATGTTTGTATTTTGATTGATTTTTCCGCTATTTGAGTTTGTATTTTGTTTTTCGCAGCGCAGATTTTTGTTTAAACTGGGCCGCACCTAAAACTTTTGCTACCTCTTATTTTTTTTCTTGATAACAATTTTTAGGGCCTTATACCTCAACAAAAAAATTTCTTCGTCGTCAAACAATCTCGAATGAAGAACAAGAACTCTCTGCAAGCCGACAGATCTGCCCGGTTGGGTGGAGTCGAATTTAAGTCCGCTTGCCGCACCAAGCCGCGGAATGTTGTCCCGATGCCGCCAGGTTAGCCCAGTTTGGTGGAGTCCCGTCTTTAATTATAAAAAAATTGTGGCTATTCTTCCTTATCATCTCGACTCCAGTGGCTGCATTCGGCGCTTTGATATATAGGGTGGGCACATTTTTTCTCCAAAAATAATTCAATAAAGCCGGATTTATAGTTCCGTAGCCGTAAGAACGTAAGAATGGAACCGTAAAATCTTACGTTAAAGAAAATTATACGATTTATAGTTACCGTAGTGGTAAGAGATGAGCTTGCGCATTAGTGCGAAACGAGATCTGTTATTGCATGTCATCTGTCAGTAAGAGTAACGTGCATTTCAAAATAATAATAACCAACAAAGTGTCAATAATTATTATAAATAAACGAAACGAACGTCAGGATAAACTCAACTGTTTGAATTATCCGAGTACTGCCGACGACAAACGCGTTAGCACGATTTACCGTAAGAAATAAGATTTGGGCATTTCCTACGTACCGTAACCGTTCTAACGTAACGTTAACGCGAACTATAAATGTTCACACGCAACAAGTAGGGTTTAATTCCAAACGTTACGGTACGGCGTTGCGGGTACGGAACTATAAATTCAGCTTTAAATTTGTTGCTGAATGTGATGTATTAATTTACCATAGAGATAAAACGCAGAATTGAACACTTACCTATTAGTGCACCTGTTTCTAATCTAAATTACATGCACATACCTATGGCCAATCACATTTCGTAATCTCATGTAGTTGTATAAATAATAATCTTTTGAAAGATAATTGATAAGTAGGTGGTTACACAGTTTTAATCTTTGGAAGTCTTGTATGTGAACAATTATTGCTTAAAATAGGATTTGTAGTTAGCTTCTCTTATATATATGAGTTAGTTGAATGATCACACTGGGCACATTATAAACCAGTGGAAATGGTGTGTTTGCGCAGATGGATTCTAAAACTAGATTTGAAGTTAGAAACATAATCACACTGGCTACATTTGAAATCCTTGTGGGTGAACAAATGTTTTTTCAAATCAGATTTATAGTTCGAAGCATAATCACAATTAGCACATTTGAAATCCTTGGAGGGCTTGTGCACTAACAAATGTTTTGTAAAATTAGATTTACTGTTCGATGCGTAATCGCACTGGGCACATTTGAAATCCTTGGAAGGCTTGTGTACCAAGAGATGTCTTTTTAAATAGAATTCATTATTGGTTAAGTAATCACACTGGGCACATTTGAAATCTTTGGAAGTCGTGTGTGTGACCAAATGTTTTTTAAAATTGGATTTACAGTTGGAAGTATAATCACATTGGGCACATTTGAAATCCTTGGAAATCTCATGTCTTAACAGATGCCGTTTTAAGTAGCATTTGTTACTGGTTGCATATTCACACTGGGTACAACGGAAATCCTTGGAAGTCTTGTGCAACAACAGATGTCTTTTTAAATAGAACTTGTTATTGGTAGCGTAATCACAGTGGGTACATTTTAAATCCTTGATAGGCTTGTGCAATAACAAATGCCTTTTAAAATGAAATTTGTTGTTGGTCGAGTAATCACATTGAATACATTTTAAGTCCTTGGAAATTTTATGCGTTAAAAGATGTGTTTTTAGGCAGAATTTGTTATTAGTTGCGTATTCACACTGGGCACATTGAAAATTCTTGAAAGTATTGTGTGTAAGCAAATGTTTTGTAAAATCGGATTTAAAGTTGGAAGCATAATCACACTTAGAACACTTAAAATCCTTGAAAGTCTTGTGCATTAACAAATGTCTTTTTAAATAGATTGTGTTATTGGTTGAGTAATCACACTGGGCACAATTGAAGTCCTTAGAGGGCTTATGTATTAACAAATGTCTTTTAAAATGAGAGCTATTGTTGGATGCATAATCACAGTGAACACATTTTAAATCCTTGGAGGACTTGTGGACCAACAAATGTCTTTTGAAAAGAAATTTACAGTTCGATGCGTATTCGCACTGGGTACACTTGAAATCCTTAGAAGTCTTGTGCACTTGCAGATGGTTTTTTAAATAGAATTTGTTACTGGTTGAGTAATCACATTGGATACATTTTAAATCTTTCGAAATCTTATGTGTTAAAAGATGCCTTTTTAAAGAGTATTTGTTATTGGATAAATATTCACACTGGTCACATTTCAACTCATTAGGAATGTTGTGTGTTGCCAAATGTGTTTTTATAACGTTTTTTTTATCGGTTGTGTAATCGCACTGGGCAGATCTAAAACGTCCATACATTTGTATGTGCATATTCTCAGTACATGGGAAATCAGAATTTCGGTAAAAGATGTCATCAACAAACTGATCTTTCTGCAGTCCTTCAATATCAACTTCCTGTTTTGTACAGATAATTTCCTGCTTAATTGTTTCAGAGACATCATTAGTAAGCAAAAGTTTCTCATCAATGGATACGTTTATATCTTCTTCTTCTTCTTTCGGTTCAACTTTAACACGCACAGACATTCTTACACTAAACTATCAAACTTGAACTCTACTAAAACTAAATGAACTAAATCTAAAAAAGTAAGAACAAAAATGGATTTAAAAAATGGAGGTTCAAGGTGTAACTAGAACCACGGCATGGCGGTGTATGGAGTAGTGGCTGCGATTGATGGTTTAGGAATATAAATTTATACAAAAATTTTTAAGCTGCGTTCACAACCTCCAATTAACGCTTATAATTAATGAGGGAAATTATTACGTAAACTTTTACACAAAGGAATCATTCGCAATGCAAGAAATGAATGGGTGAAATTAGTGTGCTTAGTGTACATGGATATATGTTAGTGTGATTAGTGCTTGGTTAGTGTATAAATAGTGTCGCCATCTATGTAACACCGAGACAATTGGTTAAAACAACTTTCAACATAACCTGTAGCGCAGCACAAAAATCAGGCGAGGTGCTCATTGTGAATCACGCAGCGCACGAAATACAACCCACGGCCGCCCACGCTTTGTATTCTGTCTGAATTAAGGTCGCTTCACGAACTTTGCTAATACTGAATTGATAAATGACACCTACATGGGGGCAGCCATGATGTGCACTCACTTGGCGCGAAATTCAAATCAACTAATAAACAAGCATAACCTCACGTTTCCTAAATAAATTACTGTGACGCATATCATTTTCCAAGGCTGCAATAGTCTCAAAACTTAAGCACTAGGAAAATTCCCCTAGAAAATAACTAAAAGGTGCACATCATGGCCGCGCCCTTACTAGGGCCATTTCTACCTCTATGGAACTGTTTGAACAGCAGTCCATCTTAATTTATAAGTTCGTGGGTCGCTTCCTCCCTTCGCATTTTACGGAACGTTAACGTCACGTCACCAACCGGCAACCCCAACCTCACATCAAAATGTGATGTGATAAGTTGAACTGGCGCATCGTGCGCAATACGAATTTTTATTTGCTAACCACGTTTTTTGAAGTTATGTTATCAATAATTATTTAAATACCGGATGCTAAGACTATTTTGTAATTCAAACAATGAGAAAACAGGTTTTCAACAGAGAATCGCAATAAATTGATGGAATACTGCCAATCCCACAACGGCGACTGAGGAAATTTGATTTAATCCGGAATTGCAATAATCGTCAGAGCAAGTGTGACACCTGTTAGATCCATTGTATATGCGACAGTAGTCCTTGGTGCTGCAGCCTCTGGACACTCCTGAAATTGGACCGCAGCTGTTTTTTAAGTTGCAGAAACGTCCGATATACTTACCTTCATTGGGAATAACGTGCTTGACACAAACATGCGTTACCAAAGCACAGCGAACTGCTTCTACTGTATCGTTTACAAATGGATCATTGCACAAATTCGAATTTGCGGAGTTGCACGTGTAGCATTTTAAAGGAGAAGCTGTAAATGGAAACGAAATTCTTCGTGAGCTACTATAGTTCGGGAAACTGATAATAATAAAAAATGCAAACATTCCAATATTCCAGTAACAAATAAGTTGAGAACGGTGCAGATAAAACTCACCGAAATGAAGTAATGATAAGCCTAACACAAGAAGAAATACTAATCGGTTTGGACGAGATGCCATCTCTAATATGGTACTGCTTTAAATGAGCCGAAAAACAGTGAATGTTTTTTTACATTCACCTAGATATTTGGGACGTATCAAGACATAATTAATAATTGAGAACAGGAACACAAAGTGTGCGATAAACATTGGAAAGAAATAAAGCAATAATTAAGGTCGCAGCAAATAAACAGGAAGGTAAAACAGGTTAGAAGGTAATCAAATAATGGCTTGGATAGATCCCATTTATTTATGGTTATTCTTGGCAAGGACGAGAATTTGGTCCGTTCGGAAACTACCAGTGTTTTTGTTCGGTCTCATCATGTCAACATGGCGCTTTATTCTTTACGTCGATTACTTAGTTAGAACGTGTTTTTACTGTTACGATAACTTCTTCTGGGTAACCAGTTTTGAAAATCCCAAGAGTTCTCAGGCAGTTTTTAGCCCCCCCCCCCCCCCCCCCCCCCCCGTAAGTTTACATCTTGGTGGCAAAACAAATTATTCCTTCTACGTTTGCAGATAGTGCACACGAATTCCTTTGAGAAATGATATAAAAATACATTATGTTGGACGTTTATAACAATAATAATTTTTAATAAGTATACAGGGTGTCTTAAATTGAGTAGGATAGCATGGCTATCTTTGATATTTTTATGCTTACAGATTCGGTTAAATTGGCAAAGTTGTGTAGTTTTTGATGCTGATGGATATTCCGATGCGATATTTTGAAAAAAATGTTTCGTTTCGTCGATAATTGGACAAAAGTGAAAATCGTCATTTTTAAAACGTTCAAATATTTTAGTAACAAAGAGAGCTATCGAAAAAAGTTTCAAATAGGTAAAAGTTGCAACATTTTTTTAAATGGCGGTTTCCGAGATAAAACACGGAAAAATGACGGCCATGCCTTTGCAAGTTGGAAGTAATGTAGTGAAGCAATTTGATGGCACTGGATTCTCAAACTGGGAATTTAGAGTAAAATTGGTGTTCGAAAAAAATGAAGTGCTAGAAGTTCTTGAAGAAGATTTGGTGATGTTCAAGAAAAAGGATGTGAAAGCGCGAAATATTATTGTACAGTGGTTGGTAGATAATGTGTTGGAAACAGTAAAGCATAAGAGAACGGCAAAAGAAAGATTCCATGCTCTAAAGGCAACATACACAAAACGAGGATTATCCATACAAGTTGATCTACAAAGGAAGTTACGTAACTTGAAGTTTAATGGTGGCACTTTGAGTGATTTCATCAAAGAATTTGAAAAAACTGTTGCAGAATTGAAGGAAAGCGGAGAAAGCATGAATGATGAGGAAATAGTGTCTCAATGCCGGACAGTTATCAAGCAATAACAACTTCCATAGATGTGATATTTAGTACGTACCAGTCCGAAGGAGATAAACATAGCGACTTTGTGAAGAGTAGGTACGCTCATGCAGAAAGAATTAAGACAAGAAGGTAACGGAAATAAATCGGAAGGTTCAGTTGCATTTTCCAGTAAATTTCGAGGAAGGTCATCGAATAGTTCTCATTATAATCATTATAAGAGAGGTAGAGGAAAAGGCAACCATACACCAGCATTTAGATTTAGAAGTTACAAATGCGGAAAGTCGGGACATAAACGGAGTGACTGCAAGAGTGTGAACATAGCCGACGACAGGACAGAGGAGAAATGCAGGTACAACAGGAAACAGAAGAAACTGCATTTGTTACAGAAGCAGAGGATCGTAAAGAACTCGGTAAAGAACATGAGGATAATGACCTTATGAATGGCTGCAATTCTGTAACTGTAATGCTCTCAGCTGATTCTAAATTAGTGAGTTAATTACTTTTATTGTGGACTCAGGTGCTACCAATCATCTAATAAGTAAAGCAACCAGTAAGTACTTAAGGCTCCTCTGTAGTCAATCCGCCATATTGGAAAAATAGCTAAACTTTCTTATGAAATGCTGCTTTTGTAGTTGAAGTCTAACAAATTCTCGATAGTGGATATTCTTTGCAATGATGAAAAGAACGGCGGTACTTAAAAAAAGATGAAATATCGGTCTTAGTTTTTTAGGAAGATCGATGAATAGAAAAATCGTTTTTCGTAAATAACAGCCGTTGTAACGGGAGTAGAAAAACCTACAGCACCAATTTGGAAATCCGACAGAATTTTTTACGGCGGTACTTAAAGATATTATTTCCATCTATTATGATAAGGCATATATTTTAAAAAATAGGTTCCGCGATTTTCAGAAAAGAGCGCAACGTTAACATAAAGGTAGGCAACTCAAATTGCACTTAAAACCCCTAAGGCGATAACCCATTACTTGCAAAGGAAAACAAAAGAAACTACCTGGCATTATCCTGGCACATTGTTACCTCGTTCCTAATGGCATGGATTAGATAAACTACTATATAATTAGCTAACGTTTATTTTTTTTATAGAAATACATACTTTCTTATTTCTAAATTTTTCATTCTATCTAGATTCTTCAAGAAATTTGTTTAGGAAGATATCAAATAGTAGCCCCATTTTTTAACACAACCCAAGCGGAATACGACCACTTATGTGTTTTACATACATATTGAGACGATTATACCAATAATTTGGTGGCTTCTTGTCGCAATTCAGGTGTGGTGTAAAAATGTGACTCCGTTTTGTTTTGTTAACATTTTGTACCACGAAACTGCTTATCTACGTGCATAAAAACATTAAAAAAATGTGGTAGGGCAGGACAAACGCATGATCTCGACATAAGGAGAAAGCACAATACCGCAATTCCTATGTAGTATCTTACAAAATACTTCAGAAGTCTCAATTAGCATCAATTCAAAAGTAAAGTTTGTCAAGTTAGCGAGACACCACCAAAATGAATATCCGTATTAAAAAAAGCGGCATAATTCGTTGGTTTCCCAGGTAATTAGTGGCAGATATAAAAAATTCTCGCACTTTTAACAAATTTCGGATTATTTACTTTTTGCGTTTGAGTACCTATGCCTTTTGATAGAGTCCCGCAATCTTCACATCAACTTTGCTGCGATTTTTTAAATTTTCCATTACTATGTGGCAACAGAAAACGGTCTTGGAATTTTTTGCAATAAGTAGCCTATATCCTGGAGGTCCGCCAGACGGCCATCGCTTTTAGTTGTTTTAAGGCCCCTCTCTTTTTTACCCTTATCAAAATAGGGAGTTCGAGGAAGAGAGGGACTAGTATTATCCATACTCTAATGAAAGGTCTCAACAAAAGGAATCCATTTCTACCTCTTCGACGCCTCATCGATGATCGGTTATAATTTTTATCTCTATAGCGAATTGCCGAAGGAGGTACTCACAAAGGGCGATTGGGACGTGTGGAAGCAATATATCCATTGGTAAGATCAACACGATAAGAGCGAATACAGTTTGTCGGAGGAGAGGCAGAGTGAATCGTCTGGACGAGATATCTATTGGTGAAGTCCAAGCGAATATCTTGACAATAGAAGAGCCTTATAACCCAACTATTTACTAAGTTATTTCGGTTTAAAAAAATGCACTTTATCTGCAGAAGAGTTGTGCACAATTTATAATTGTTTCAATATGATCTGATATCAAGAAAGATGAATACTTGTTCGTCAAAAAAAATAGAGGATTGCCCAATTTCAATTTTCACTACTGAATTAAAGATTTAAAAAAACCGAATTATGATACCGCACAAACGATGCCAATATCCATACTTACAGACCAAAAGGTGTAAATTCGATTGCTTGATGTCCATGTGATATGTCATGCTTTTTGGTGCCGAATATGATTCTACCCACAAAAATGGAAGATAGGTTGCAATGACAAATATGTATAGACATGTGTTATTGTGTTAGTTACATTTTTACCAGCAGTTTTGTCTGTTCGGAAAAAACCTTCATGGGCCGTGCATAAATAAAACGAATACGCTAACTGTACAATCATTTTTTGAAAAGATAAGAACTTTTTTTTAAATAAGTAAATAATAACCTAGTAATTATAAAAATGTCTAAATCAAAGTTGATAAGTAAAATTGATTAAAACAAATAAACGGAAATAATAAGGTGTAATTAACAATGTATTGGGAAATGTTAGCAAACATTGCGAGTTTTTTCCACTAATTACCTTAGAATCTAGTAATTTACAGAAGATCTCATTATAGACAAATGGAGTAAAAGGAACAGGTATTTGTGTAGCTTCATTCAAATATTGACTACACCTTTTCAATAAACTTGTTTACATAATTAGTCCTTGATCATTATACCTGGTCTATTGTGTTTAACAATAAATGAAGAAAATATGCAAAACTGAAAAGGATAGAATTATACCGTTTTCGCACTCCACGAATATATACGTAGAAATGTGTATTGTTGGTGGTCTAACCAATTGCAATAACATTGAAATGCAAATTGACTACAGAGGAGCCTTAAGTGAAGTAAAAACTGTTATATCAAGTAAATGTCGCAAGAAGAGGTTCGGTAGTCGTAGTGAAAGTTTATAAAAGTGGAACTTTTACTTTACCTACGTGTGGAAAATATGCAGGGAAAGAAATTCAAATTAAAAGACGTTACAAAGTGGTGATTTTCAGTACAATCTGCTGTCGGTAAAAAAATTGAGAAGGAAGGGTTCAAAATAATTTTTGAAGGTGGTAAGGTTAAAATTTGTCATAAAAATAGTAAAGTAACAATGTTGAATGGAAGGTGTCTTGAAAGGAAATCTTTATGTTCTTTGAATAAAAAATAAAAAAATAAAATGTTGTTTTATTTAAACCTAGACAGTATAGGTGTGTTGCCTAACCGAATTATTCAATTGCCTTTGTGTGTGTGTGTGTATTGATTGAAGCTAATAAAAGTTATGCATATGTAGATAAGCATAGTAAAAAGCCTTTATTTCTTAGTATAATCACAAACGATCTATTAAAATAACACGTACCTAGCCTTTATTTCAAAATAGTGAGGTGATGTAAAGAATACATTAATACATGTATAAAAAGCGGTAAAAGGTGTAAGAAAAGAAACAATCCATCGCCATGCCATTGATTATACACACAACTGTATAATCAATGGCCATGCGGAACAAATGCCATTGTGTTTACAAGGCCGCACCTGTGGCTACATATTCCCCTAATACGACCATGACCGGATAAGGATAATAAAACATTCAATTGCATAATATAGGACAAGTAAAAAGTCCCGAAATGGTCGATTATATCTCCGTTATTTATGAAGCATATTTTTTAAATAATTAATAACAAATGTTAATTGCATTGAATGCATTGAATAGTTGCACCTAATGTCTTCTTTTTTCGGCTTTAGCTGAGAGTGTTTACTCACCATGTATCTGATGCGGTACACGTATTTACCCATTTTCCAAAGAAGAAAGAAGCAAGAAAACAAACTGAATATGGGTGCGTCTTAGTTGCAGACCTACCGTGCGTATCTACATGTCCGTATCTTTAACCTTGAACTTTGCACTTGTAGATAGACCTTGTGGAATGCCAAAGTTAAGTCACGACAATTTGTTCTTTGACCATGAACTTTTCACCTTGCAGAAAGTAGGGCTAGTTGGGCCACGAACGGTGTCTATAAAACCGGTTTTATGGTTCAGTGGTAGAGCGTTGGACTACCTATAAATCCGGAGGTCGGGTGTTCGAACCTGGATTGAGGTTTTTTTTTTCATCTGTGGCAGTGATTGGAATTACCTTAGACCAGTTTCGAGCATTCTGTCGGCTACTCCGAATTAGGTTTTCCTGCAGTTTTCCCAATTCGTAAGGTAAATACCGGAGTAGTATAGAACAACTCTGCAGAGGCACCTCTAAAAAGCATTATGCGAGTCACTCTGTAAATGGGCGCAAGCCTGTCGAGGGCCCAGAACAAGAGAGGGATAATATACAAAATAAAATAAATAAAAATGTCAAATTTGCGAAAAATTACAACATGAAATTTTTTAGAAATCCATGCAATATTGTGATGATAAGATTTAATTTTACGATGTTGTCCGTATTCACAACAAGATCCGCTATTTCTCAATTATATTTACCGACAGACGCTTTAAAACTTCCACTATTGTTCGTATTTAACGTAATAAGTTTCTAATAGTAGAGGAGTGATTAATGTAATTTTAATAATCTGACGATTTGAGCGTGACGTGAAGGAGTGGCAAGGTCACAAACTTTCAAAGAGAGAAATACCTGTTGTGTGTTCATGTTTAGATATTTCAAAGATTACCTACATTAAAATAAGTACTAATTTGTGCTATACAAGTTGCCTAAATTCTCTAACGCTTTTGGTCCATTCCATTTCCATTTAAAATAACAGGGAAATTGTATATTGTATTTTCTCATGCTCAGCCGTTCGTCTGTATCTTGCAAATGCTTTAGCAATAAAATTCCAATTAATGCCAAGACAGAAAATAGAGCAGACAATTTTACACAAATCAGTCAGAATTCGTTAAGTAAAACATTTGCGATAATTTTTTGTTAAATCATCTTTAACACACCAAAATCATGTTAGATTTCAGAGGAAACGTTTTACGATTAGATAACTTAAATTTAGCCGACAATTTGAACAATGGCTGTTTCCTTTGCATTCAATAACCGAAAATTACCTTTAAATGTGAACTTTTCTGGTGGATATAGGTACCATTTCAACATAGATAAGATACCTACCTATTCTTAAAATTTGATCAATTGTCTATTTACCACTATCTATGTCTTAATGCGTTGCTGAGGAAAACGAAAGATTGAGAAAAGGTCTCGCGGCGTATATGCCCTATGGTCCGAATAGGTAGGTAGCTAACGTTAAACGTATTGCACTAAACGTCGTTGATTTTTTTTAAATATCCAAAAATGACGTTCACAAAATCACAAAAAAAGCATGTCAGTTCTGAAGGTTTTTTAAAACTCTAGTGCGTCAGTTTATTTAATTTTCATAATCCAATGATGCCATATTCCATAGGTAAGCGCATTTTGAACAACCTTCTTCAAACTAATTGTTTATATGTATAGGTAGCCTACCCAAAACCCATGAACGGAATGGGTTGTAAAATTTCTTGTTATCAACTGAAAAATGTATCTATCGTTTTAAGAGCATTCTCTTGAATGGACAAGGGATATAGAAAATGATGTAAGCCGCTTTTAGTTTTGTTTATTTTAAGAATGTAATCGATTCAGACTTGGTGGCTATATGCCACCACACATTTCGTAAAGAACGAAAACAACACCTTGGGTTTGAGATTGTATACAGGGTGTTCAACGACGAATTGAGTCAATTATAGATTTTTTAAAACATAAGACAACTGCTTTGTTCAGTTTTATACGACTTCTCTTTTTATCGAAAGTGGGCCCAAAGTCCGTTTCTGAATTTTCTGAAGTTTATAAACTTGTAAGGATGCTTGAAAAATATCTAACCTTTTTTAGTCAATGGGTTAGTTGTTAAACACTAAGATTTTGATAGTCAGGTTACTACAATATTTAAAGTTTTGGGGCTAAAGTTTCCAAACTTAAAAGATTCTGACGTTTCTAGTGACATACATCTACGGCTAGGAATGCTAAACATAATTTTTTCTACAATCATATACTATGCGGTCAAAAAAGAGTTGCTGTCGGGTCACCTTTGGAATTTTTGTTTAGATAGAAAATCGTAAAAGGCGACTCGACGTCAGTCCTTTTTTGATCGCTCGAGATTTGACATTTGCGATACGCCTAATACCCAGACCTACTATGACCTTTTTGCATTAATTTTCATAGAAACCGAAGACATAGTAACCAATCAAATCAACAATGTTTGCTCACTTGTGGTCAAACTCTCGTGTTGCTCACGCGAGCAAAACATCCTATTAATTAATGATTGTGGAAAAACATCTTTTCTATACGTTAAATGAGGTAGGTTACAAATGCTACAATTTGAGACCAGAACCATATCTGTAGGTTCAATACTTACCGAGATACAGCTGTTCAGAGATTGACATTTTTTCAAAAAAAATATAATTTTCAGATTCGCGGTCAATTTTCGACGCCCATATCGAAGAAAATAATCATTTTACAGGAAAAATCATAGAGAACGATCTAGCAAATGTAAGTAACTCTAATTGAAGCACAGAACGACGTCTGTAGACCATATAGTTTCCTGACAAATCTTTAAAAATATAAAAAATGGGCTGCAAATTTTTTAACGGGTATCCTCAGTGTAGTCTTTTTCATACAGAGCTACTAAGCACTTTGCTCCATCATCTGCGATGGCTTGTTAAGCTGAATTGGGTTGGAGAAACACTTCCATTCTGGCGATGAGATCAACGTTTTTCTGAATGGCGCTCCACAGTTTGTTCTTGCCATGCCACGAAACAGAGACGAGAAACAATTCGACTCCAAGGGGACTTTCAAATCTCCACGATTGAATGATGTTGAGAAATATTTGAAAGGCCCACAATTATTTCTGCCTCTTCTCTGGAAATTATAGCTGATCCAAAACCATTGATCAGCACCGAATGAAAAGCTTTAAAGATGGCTTTGTTACACCATAGCGCCTTGCGCGTTCGACAGTTGTTAGGGGAATTTTTCGAAATAACAAAATTTCCCTTATGTGATGGTTTTGTCTATCTGTCCGTCTGTTTGTTCTCCGTCTAACTCCAGAACAAAAAGAGACAGGGATGTCACACCTTCGCCAATCGATTTCTACGAGTTCAAGGATCAGTGGTATTGAATATGAGCCGGATCGAAAGTCTGGTTTCCGAATACGAGCTGAGTGACAAAAAAATATCCCTCACGGAGTCGTTACGATGCCAAATCACCTTGTGCAGTAAGTAAACCCCATCGCATTGATTATACACACTTCTGAATTCATTGATTATACACAAAAGTGAGTATAATCAATGCCCCCATATATCACAGCAAACTGTTGAGGGATATCGGACTGAAAGTTGAGTATAGAAGTCGTATTTGAAATGTTCCTACAGCTACAGCTATACAGCTTATCAAATGTGGTGAGCTCAGCAAAAATTTGGCGGTTAGTTGAGTGCTGCAAAGTTAGCACAGCTGCAAACTAGGATGTACAGATACGCTACTGGTAGGTAGTAGTCGTAACAGCATATTAAAAAATCAGAACTAGCAGTTTTATTGCGATTTTTAGCGACTGGTCTGTTTATTTAACACGAAGAACGGGACACACTGTATATCTTTCCCACCAGCGAAAATGCTTATAAGCAACCGCGTGCCGAGCGGATGCGCATTGCGCAGTGCGAAAGCGGTGGTACGCATCGTAGTTCCTCAATTTACAAAAAATGAAAAATGTAACCTGAAAATAAAAACAACGATTTTTGACGATTTCCTACTAACAAATTTAAAGCGAAATGTGCAAATAACTCCCGATCAAGTTTATAACAACTAACCACACGCTGCTTTTTAGCAAAGATGACCGTCTTAAGGGCATTTAAGTGGTAAGTGCACATTCTTGTTAAGTTGTTACATCTTGATTGTTCCTGTTTCGTAACCATAGTAACTGACAGCATTTGTTTTTGTAAATAAAATCAGCCACTTGATTTTGAGTGCAAAGCAATTGGAAACTGGTCTCGCTTTTTAATGTAGAATTTTTTTTCTTTTCTCTTATCTCTAATTGATAGATAATTTGGATGTCAATAAGCTGGATTTAAGTTTTTATAATTAATGAATTCAATTTTGAAATATGCCAATCACCGAATCGACATACAACCTGCTATAGGTACATATTTAAGCGAGTATTTAAGGTAATCGTAGATGTTGGCCCCCTTGGCAATTGCTAGGGTGTTTGGAGTGATAGTGGACGTTTTTAATTGACCTTTTGAAATTTAGGTCTAGGTATTTAATATATATTTGTATTGGTTCATTTATAAGACAGCTTCCGTTTCGTTCCCTCACTTCCTTCAGATAATTTTAATTGTACGTTTAGAACAGTGGTTGAGCTCCCACGTGTTTCATTCAGAAGCATTTGTTCACCGTAGCAATTTATTATTTTTTGATGGAGCCTGTATGCCGATGAATCATTAAGCCTTACTAGTGGCCAATAGAAAGTTCTTCCAAATATCCATAGGGTCTTTAAGAAGCTTCAAGAGTCCTTAATAGTCTGACCCTCTAAAAGTCATCGGGAGTTTCCAAAGGTTCGAAGAGGTGATAGGGATATTTAACTTTGAACTGGAGTTTCATCTACTCGCATATGAAAGCAGTCAAGTCGTGACCTCGAGTCTGACTATACTTATTGCAAAATGTAATAATAATAATGATAATATATTTGCTTGTTATTATACAACATTTACTCACAATTGCCAAAAATATATAAAGTATATAGGTACAATACATAATATAACAGTTGTGTAAAGTAAAAAACATGGACAATATAATATGATATGGCAAACTACATAGAATACATTTAACAGATTTATCACACTTTATCACAGATGGTACTATTTAAGAATTCTTCATAGTGGTAGAAAGGATTGTTTAGCAAATAACTTTTGATTTTACTTTTGAGACTGAATTCACTAAGTGTGCGCCAATTGTATGGCAATTTATTGTATAATTTATAGAAAGGTAAATAGATTGAGTTTTTGACATTCTCTTAAAAGGAATAGGTATATAAGTTCTCTCTTGTTCTTGTATTGTGACTATGAATTGTAGAACAAGTGGTACTGTTTAAAATACCATGTTTGCGGACGTGCACAACTGAATGCAAAATGAAAACACATGGCAAAGTTAAAATTCTTAATTTTTTTATATCTATTAGGGCCAAAATGGTAGAACGGTTTTTTACTAATTACTGATGTGATTGCTATTGGTCTATAATTTGAAGGATCGGTAGCTAATCCACCTTTATGGTATAATGGAATTAGTACAGTCGTTTTTAAGCATTCAGGGTATTGTCCTAATCTTATTGCTCGATTTATCAAGCTTGTTAATGGAATTTTCAGTTCATTTATGACTGATTTTATAATTTTTGAGTTTAGTCCATCAAAGTCTAAGGAATGACTGTTTGATAAGTTGCGTATAGCATCTCTAACATTGTTTATTGATATTTCATTGAAACTGAACTGTACATTATATGGCATTTGAATTTCAGAAAGATATTTGTTAAAGGCAGAGTTTCCATTTTTAAAAGAAGTATGTATTCGAGGAGCAATCTTACAAAAAAAGTATTAAATTGTTCTGCAGTAGGCATTTTGATATTTGATGGACCGGTCTGTGGGTTTAAGTTTTGTTTTATAATGGTCCAGCGAGCTTTATTTGCATTTGCAGATCTTAAGTTATCATTTGCCTGAACTTTGGCTTGAATGATTGCATACCGATATTTTGATTTATATGTTTATATTACCCTCGATATTACCTAAGTAGTACTGTTAATAAAGACATTTACTATTATTTTCATTTTTGTGACTGCTAGAAATCATTTTAGCCTTTGCTGTAAGTTTTTAAGATTCGAAAGACCTTTCAAAGCTCTTCAAGAGATTCAAATGTACAGAATATTCCATTTAAAAAAATGAGGTTAGGTCCGATAACTTTTTTACCTGACCCTGTATACTTATTTTGAAAATGGCAGATTATTCAATAATCATTACAAAGAAACTTTCAAAGCTCTTCAAGAGATTCAACTGTACAGAATATTCCATTTTAAAAAATAAGGTTAGGTCCGATAACTTTTTTACCTGACCCTGTATACTTATTTTGAAAATGGCAGATTATTCGATAATCATTACAAAGAAACTTTTGTAAGAAACAATTTGCTGTAGGTATCTCTTATCACTAAGAAAATATAGGGCCATTCCAAAATCCCCATATCTCTTCAGTGAGTGGATATTTTCAAGTTTTGTTTGACCCAAAAAGAGCACATGGCACCTATATTACTTTTTTGAGAGCACTAACAATATTACAGTGATATCAAAGAGGGTCGAAAATGGGACCATCACAAATTTTGATTCATTTTTGCCCGGATAACATTTTTGTGGACAAACCTCTTTTTTTGTGCTTTGCTTTATGAATTTTGGAAAAATCTGATAAACTGCAAGTGCATACCCAACAACCAGTGAAATAGGCGTTAATTGCAATTCTCTGTTAAGTATATGGTTGTTGAAAAGATTAAAGAAGAAACGCCGATTTTGCGGAGAATTTTGTTATTTGGAAAATGCCTTAATCATCTTTACTTACCACTCAATTTTTTGACATGGGTACATGCTCACTTTGAACTAGAAGTTCATGTAAAGTGTCGACTTGCAAATGGAAGAACTTGCAAAAATGCAATTGATTAAAGTTGTTTTACAAGAAAAATTGTTTTATTGATTTTATATCGAAGAAAATCGATCGTGGAAGTGGAGACGCGTGGAATTAACCAACCTGTCTCTTCGTACAGGAAATTGTTAAAAAGTGATCTCGGAAGTGGTTTAAATGTTGGGTTTTTGAAGGAAAATTTGGAGATATGCAGGAAGTTTTAGGAATTTTTTGAAAATTGGAAGAAATTTGGTCAATGGAAATTTTTAAAGAAATTTTGGAATCGTTTAGGCAATTTTAGAAACGCGTAGGATTTTTAATTTTTTGAAATGTAGATTAAAAAAAATTTTTTTTAATGTTTGTATTTGTGGAAATGTGTAAAAAAATCGGAAATTTTTAAGAAATATGGGAACTGTTTCAGAATATTTATCTTTAGAAAATTTTGCATTGAGAGTTTTGGTACGTCTATGAAATTGCGATATGTTTGCCTTTACTAGAAGAATCTTTGGTTAAAATACAAAAAAATATCTTTATAAAAAAGAAAGTTGACATTGCTCAGTTTGCACATGCGCACATCTGATTCTTACAATATGCAATATAGTTGACTTTACCAAGCCAAAAGCATCTGTGCTTAAAATTTCACATAAATATCTACATAAATAAGAAACTTGATTTTGCGCATGCGCACATCTGATTCATACAATGGCCTGTACGAATAAAAGTAAGCAAATGCTTATACTTGCAAAATTCAAAGTAAATACTCGTAACTGCCCCTTCATACTGGTCTGTTTAGCATGGTTTAGCAGCGCTGCACTGCGTCCTGTCCTTCTGCTTAGAAGCGCTGCATGCTTTTCTTTACTAGAAACATCTGTAGTTAAAATTTCAAACAATTGCGTACATTTGATTTTTACAATATGCTTGACATTAGCAGAAGCATCAGGTTAAATTTTTAAAGAAATATCTCGGTAAATAAGGAATTTGACATTGCGTATGCGCATATCTGATTTTTACAATGTGCGATATGCTTGTCTTTACTAGAAGCATCTGTGGTTAAAATTTCGAAGAAAGTTGACACTACGCATGCTCATATCTGATTTTTGTAATATGCGGTATGCCTCGAGGTATGCTTTTCTTGGACAACCGTTTCTGAGATACCCTGTACATCGTAACATCCATTTTTTGCATTCTTTTTCCTGCTTACATTGATGTACACAACCTATATATTTTTTATAGTTTCATAATTTCTAGCTTTAATATTTTTTCGAGTATTTTCTTTACACTCTTTTGATTTAAAGATAGATTTCCCCCACCACAGATATTGCGTTTCTGCGTTGTATTGCAATTCCTATGCGTTGTGTAAGATATTATGATCCGGATTTGGGGTCGCCGCTTTCTCTAACTAGTAATTAGCTACCTCTCAGCCATTTTTATTGATTGGTATCGAGTGCCTTAGTTACCATGGATATAATAAGCAAAATAAAATCTCCTTGAATCCATGGCCTACTATTTAATAATTCTACGACAATATGTTCTTGAGTTGTAAGGAATCAAGAATCAAGTAAGGAATGATATCCCATCACGATAAGGGGCCGAGGAGGTGGACCATGGTTGGTAGAAATTAATTCCTTTCGTTGAGACCTTTCTTTAGAGTACCATGAAGGATAAAACCAGTTCCACTTCACCCCCCCCCCCTCTTCTTTTGATAAGGAGCCAGAAAGAAGGGCGACATCCGCTCAAGAAAGCAGTCACAACAAAAAAAAACAATGCAAAAAGAAAAACCCGCGAAATTCAAATTCAAATACACCGCCTAAGTAGACAAACTTGACGCGTACGTTCGCGCATCCCGATTTCGACCTTCAACGTTTCTCAGATAAACATCAATCTCTCACGTTCCGTTTAAAATGCACAGGTGCTCAGCACGCTAAATAAATTTTAATTGTGTATTGTCTGCTCTAATGAAGGAAGAATCAATGTCCGAAATAAAGCATGTAAAAAATGGTAAAACAAAAAAAAATGCAGTTTGCTCTTATTCCTGTAATAAAATACTAATCTTCATTTAAAAATATCAATTGTAGGTCAAGTCTCAGAAATTCAGGTTCATCATTCATTGCATAATCACACTGGACACATTTTAAATTCTGTGTCAAAATGCTATTGTGCATGTGCGATGTTCTACTTACGCTGCAAAATATGTCCCTGTCTTTGTTAGGTATGTTGGCACAGGTGCTCATTATTGAAAGCGAGATTGAAAGTAAATGGGAAGCTACATCTATGTATGTAGGCAATACGATCTATAAGGATTTGTGAATAAAGCCTGCCACTAGGTTTGTAAAGTATGGTATTAGGAATTTTTCTGTTATCACTATCACTATAATCACACAAGTAAGGCTTTAAATTTGTATTATGTTGGCCAACAAATCTACATAGAGGTGATTGTGTACCTAATCCGTATCTTATCTTTTTTAAATGTTAGACTTGCTTATCGCTCTCGCTATCTCACCTGCCATGGTTGTTTACAAATATAAATTGTGAAACAGGTGCACTATTTTATCAGCAATATGGCACTTAGAAAAGTGACATTCAAGGGGACAATTATTTACGTTATCAGTGACCACACTTTTTTTGAATAGCTTACTGATAAAATTGCGTAGGCACTAGAAAGCCTAGAAAGAGATTGTGAAATCCTGGAGAAGGCAACTGCAAGATAAAAACAAGTTAAAAAGTAATCGTAAACGATTTACATAAAGCGCATTTCCACTTGCATTCATTTCCCATTTGTAAGATGCAACTTCTGTTAAAATCGTAAAAATTCGGCCACAAATATGAAAGATAGCGTTGCACATGAGCAATCCATTTTTGACATGCTATTTCAATTTCAGTTTATAAGAAGAATTTCATTTCAATGCTTTTCTAAATAAGAAAGTTGGAACTGCGCATGCGCAAACCTAAATTTTGAAACTAATGTTAGATTTTCCTTTGTTCCAAGCGCCAAAGTATCAAATTTCACTTAAATGCTTCCATAAATAAAAAAGTTGACACTGCGCATGCGCAAAACCAAATTTTGAAACTGGTATTTGATTTTCCTTTATTCCAAGCGCCTATGTATCAAATTTCATTTAAACTCTTCCATAAATAAAAAAGTGGCACTGCGCATGCGCAAAACCAAATTTTGAAATTGGCGAAATTGGCGTTAAATTTGCTTTTATTCCAAGTGCCTATGTATCAAATTTCATTCAAATACTTTTATAAGAAAAAAAGTTTGCAATTCGGTTTATAAATGGTCGAGATGCGAAAAGGGCACTGTGAATTTTGAATCGATTCGACTCAACTTTTGGCATTGTGTATTATATGGCTAAAGCTATGCCCATATTGAATTTCATGCAATTCACTTCATAACTAACGGAGATGTAAAAGCGATCGGACATTTCTAAACAAAATTATCGTTCACACGGACAGATAGAGGGACAGACAGGCAAAGGAACAGACGGACAGACCAACAAACGACAGACAACAATACAAAATTATAAATGATCTCTAGGATGGTTAATAAACGGCAAAAGTGTAAAATTATGGAACATGTAAAAAACGGTTTGTTGGTTTTTTTGCAATAACTTTTTTAGCAATAAACGCAGAAAAAATTCCTTCCTTGGTGCAAGCCTCGACACCATAACGAACCAAATAGCGAAAAAAGTAGAACAATAGCTCTTAAAATAAAGAACGGAAACGAGCGGACGGACGGACGGACAGCCGGACGGACGGACGGACAAAGTGGCCACAATAGCGCATTTTTTTTAATTTTTGTGGAAATGCGCTAATGACAATGTGGTATTCCGCGTGAACAATCTAGAACATTATTCAATTATCCATTACCCAAATACAGCAAAAGAAGTAAAATATATCGTACCTTTAATAATTTTCTTTATGAACAGGTTTGTGCCGAACTTTAGCAGAACTTTTATTGGACCAAAAACCTGAATAAGTAGAATCATTAAAATGAGAAAGCCGCGTAATAAAAATATAAAACCGCCACCAAAATATCAAAACTTTATGACTAGTACATATGTATTATAAATCTTTGCGTAAAGCGAGGCGCAAAGAGAGAAACAGGCGTTTTTTTACAATACAATTTTTATTTTATTTTATTGCCTTTATTTTATAGTGGGCGGAGTGTTAGCAATTTGCTACTCTTCCCACTCAACCCACTATACAATCACAAACAGCCATGCCTTACCTGGGATTCGAACCCAGGACCCTTGTAGCCAAAGTTAGAGCTTCTAACGTAAGCTCATCTGAGCTACGCAGGTCGGCCTGTTTCAAGAAAAGGGGTCTGTCCCGACATATCAAACGGAGTCATCAAGCACAAGTAACTTCGGAGGAAACCATTGCAACACCGACACCTTCACGCGAGCTTCATTTGTCAAATCCATCATATTAAATTCTCTTTTCAAAAATCTTTTTGGAATTTTCTTGTATTTTTTGAACCATTTTAACCTTTTTTTAAATTTTTTAAATCACTCACGTTTTAATAAAAAGAGAAAAATCTTTTTAGACTAAACTATGCAGGGTGTTCCATTAAAAAATTATAGTTGGGTCCGATAACTTTTTTATGCGCACATCTGATTTTTACTAAATGCGATATGCTCGCCTTTACTAGAAGTATCTGTGGTTAACATTTCAACAAAATGTATTAATAAATCAGAAACTTAATGTTGCGAATGCGCACATTAATCGTCAAGATTTTTCTTGGCTCAAACTAAACATCTTGAAAACTGTAGGAGTAGTTAAGGCCTCGGACGAACGGAGAAAGTGGCTTATACTAGGGCCTTCCAACATTAGTTGGAAAATGGCGATGTACAGGGTGTCCCGTTTTCGACACTTCGTAATTGTTGTGCTAGTAGAAAAAGTAATGTAGGTGTCATGTACTCTTTTTGGGTCAAATTTAAAATGGTGAAGCAAAATATTAAAACATTCGCTCGCTTTTAAGAGATATGGAGGAAGAAATTGTCCCTTTCAGAATGACTATATTTTCTTAAACTTCTCAAACATATATACCATAAGTAAATGTTTATTAGAAAAGTTTCTTTATGATTGTTGAATAATCTGCCGTTTTTAAAATAAGTATACGGGGTCAGGTAAAAAAGTTATTGGACTTAACCTCAATTATTGTAATGGAGCACCCTGTATATTTTAATCCAAAAGGAGAGCATATTAAATTCCCACAAGGGATGATATTCAAAAAAAGGTTTAAATGATTAAAAAATTCAAAAAAGATTAATTAAAAACGCCTTGTATGTTCTAATCTAAGAAGATAGCATACTAACAGCGATGACGTTAAAAATTTAAGTGATTAAAAACAAAACATGTTCAAAAACATTAAACAAAGATTAAAAAAAGGTTCCAATAATTACAAAAAAATATAACAAATTTCAAAAAGTGTTTTGAATTACAATTATACTCTTAGAAATGTTGCGGAAATATAATACAGGGTGGAACATGTCAGTTTCCCCAGGTTAGTAGAATTAGAAATTTCAAACAAGAAAACAAATTTGTTATATGAATGAAAGTGTTACTGTTACCAACCTATCAAAGCAGAATATCCCACTTCATCGGGAAAGTGGCATATGCTCCACACTGCGACAAACTTTGGTAGTTCGCACGCAATCGGTGAGCTTTAAAATCAATCGGAAAACTGATAAAAATAACATTTTATTAAGGAAAAAAATAGAAATACAACTCGATAAACTCTACGGCAGCGGTTACAACGACAGAACGTTCAACTCGGGCTCCTGCAAGGGATGCTGTAACCTTGCCCCTAGCCAAGGTCGGGGTAGGAGTGGTTTGGCGGATCGGTCTCTGAAGCCCCGGGCAAACTAAAACGGAGTAAACGGGGAGCTCCGGGAATTCTAAAGGACGATCGGCTACCGGTGAATGCTAAAACAAAATTAAAACGCACAGCAATTTCCCTGACCGGGAACAGTCATCAATCGGATTTGATAGCGGTTTGTACGGGAAAGCAATTGCAGGAAAGGGAGACAATATTCCACTCCCATGAAACGGAAAGTAGCCGAGAAAGTAGCTTTACCTTGCAATTAGAGCGGTAGGAATCACTGTGAAAAAAAAGGCAAAAGCTATAAATATGGTGTGGTAAACTTAATGTGAAAGCAAAAATTAAACGGTATGAAAGCAAAATAAATTTATAAAAAAAACTCAACATTGCGGTACTTACAAAACGAGGTTTGCAAAGATCCCAAAAGGCAGAAAGCAAAAGATTTCTCACGTTTCGATTAAACTTACGTGTCCATTAACCATCAAATGCAAAAAAGATCCCATCTAACTTAAGCGTTTACTTTATATATCAAATTCGGCCATGGCATGGCGGGAACGTAGGAAATTCCAAGTCGGCCGGCGCATTCAGTTATCTACTTCCAAAAATTCTTCTTTAATTAATTACGTCCTTCGCATATAACGGATGTAATCTCGACTTAATCGGAGGCTGTTATTTGTAACCCATTCAACTAATTAATTACGGTTAATTATACTTATCCCAATAGCCGGAATGAAATCTCCAAATTCGGCAGTCAAGTAATGCTCTTTTGTTCCATGAAATGGAATGTGAGGTCAAATGACCGGGTCGCCTACCACGTTAATATTTTCGTAGACTGCACGACTTACTGGTTTTAAAGCTGGATTTCGTATACCATTAGACAATTGAAAACGATTGCATAATTGAGAATTAACGGACCTAAAACTTAATATTGATTCTCTCGCTTCTTCCCTGGCAAGAAAGCTTTCGGGGGCTGTAAAAACAATTTAAACATTCCTACGGGAACGGTTGCAAACGTCGGATTAGCTGCAGCGTTATTTACAGTAGCGGCGGAAATTAAATCAATTACCTTTAGCTTCTGTCTTTAACTCCTAAAATCTGTGGGATCGGCAATCTTTGTAACGAAACGCCCAACTTCTAGATACCGGGTGTTCATCTACAGAGTGATCACTAAAGCTGGTAATTTCCAGCCGGAGAACAGGTGCTTCGTTACAAAACGTATAAATTGTTTGCACTATTTGGTAGCAATTGTTAAGGAATGTTACAAATGTTTTTTAGCAACTTTTTGGAAATGTTTAACCCTGACTCACCTTGTATAGTCAGTAGGTATGTCTCGGTTGAGTTCAATTGATTGTTCGAAAGCTCGCAAAAAAAAAGGTACCTAGCTATTAATTGGTCGAGGTCTAAGTACTTCTTTTGAGGGTGGTGGCGTTTGGTGGTAGAGGGTGTGGAGAAAAGTAGACAACATTGTAAAAAGCTCTAAAAAGTTTCATTTGATAAGTATTACCAGAGGGATTCTGTAACATCTTTTTCTTGCGGTGGCAGTGGTGGAAATTGTAGAAGTGGAATCATCCTAGAAGATTTCATTTGGTAGATCTCAACTAGAGGGGGTGGTTGGTAGCACCTGCGGTGAAATTGAAGAGTTATGTAAGAAAGTTTATAGGTTTTGACAGGCGATGTAGAGGTGTACCTTTGTTGTTGATGGTGGCGCCGGCGGTGGTAAGAAAGTGGAAGTGCAGAACATATAGCAACGTACAACGGTTGGAAAGTTTTATTGATTGATACTATCCAGAGGGATGTTGTGGCGTGCTTCTTGGTGGGGGCGGCAGTGGAGATGGATAAAGTGGCATTGGAGGTTTGTAAAACTTCGTAGACAGTTCAACCTGAAGGATGTTGCAATATTTTTAATTTCGCCTTTCGCATGGTTAGTTATGACTTACACTTAGTTAATGAACCACTCAACTTAGGATTGTGTAGTCGTCAGAAATTGTGGTCATGAAGTGGTAAAATGATGACCTATTGACGCACTTATTTTGGCCAAAACGTCAGTAACGAATATTTCAAATGTTGAACAGGGAGAAAGATTTGTAAGTGGGGATGAGGTGCTTTGGGACATGTTCAGAAACAGCTTATAAACATTTTAGAAGTCGACTCTAATTGTGACAGTCATAGTCAATCATAATTTTTCTTGGTCGACAGAATCATACGTTTGAACCTTTTTCCCGAACAAATTGACGCACAAGGACAAATTTGATACTTTTGTTTGATTTCAGGATGAGCATCAATAAAAATTGCGTCGTAGCACTAACTCTCGGGTTGCTGACAGGCTTTATGGCAGCTTACTTAATTTTATCGCCACCCGAATACGCGTTCCTGGAGCTAAGCGATCCTCACACCAGCGCTCAAATGGAGGGTCTGGCCGGGCCGATTAACGATCCCGGCACGCACGACAACGACGAGATTTTTCACCAGATGGAAAATTCGACGGTGGCGGACTACTTGGCGCGGCAAGTGAAAATTTTATGTTGGATCATGACTGGCCCGAAAAATCACCAAAAGAAAGCCAAACATGTTAAAAATACGTGGGGCAAACGGTGCAACATTTTATTGTTTATGAGCTCGGAGGAAGGTTGCAGCCGAGTTTATCACGGAATCTTGTCTAAAGATCTTCTTTGCAGATCCGTCGTTACCTGCTGTTGCCTTGCCTGTCAAGGAGGGGAGGGATAATTTATGGGCCAAAACCAAAGAGGCCTTTCAGTACGTGTATAAGCATCATATGCATGAAGCTGATTGGTTTTTGAAAGCCGACGATGACACGTATGTGTACGCTTGTTGCAGGGCCTTGTTGCCATAACATTTTTTACAGATATGTGATATTAGAAAATTTACGTTACATGCTGATGACCCACAGCCCGTCAGAACCTGTTTATTTCGGGTGTAGGTTTAAGCCATTCGTTAAACAGGGCTATATGAGCGGAGGAGCCGGTTACGTATTAAGTAGGGAAGCGGTTAAGAGATTTGTTGAGGTAGGAAAATGCTGTGAACTTTCTAATAGGTCAAGTTTAATGATATCAAACGTTTACACCCACACCCGTAACTTTTTATCTGTAATTTGCGAGTAGGAGTTGCGTTAGACATAAAAGCTAGTTCATCCTTCATTCAATTATTCTAAAACTGTAAATTTCGCATTTCATTAAGTCTACTTTTTCTACTCTATGGAGTGCATCAGGGTTGCATTTTAGGAATTTTGCTATTCTCTCAGTCAATGGTGGGTAATTGGTATCCATTCCTGCATAAGAAAGATTGAAGGTCATTTCCCTAATGGAAACGCACATTTGAGTTGTAGGCAGAATGGCCCGTCATTTCTAATTGGGAGATGCTGTCGAGGGCGGGATCCGGGAGGGCAGGTGGCAGATCATAATGGCTCTTTGGTAAATACTATATGTTTGATGGCAGCATTTGCATTTCTTGCATTAACAAATTTTTTGTTTGGTGTTGAAGTTAGGTTTATCATTAAAAAATGGTATTATTTTATACGGAGTTTATTTTTGTCATACTATGTGTCCCAGATTGAATGGGTTTACATGGGAAACTTTGTTATTTTTGAATAAAATTGTGAAGAAAATTGAAATATTCCAAATTAAATTATAAATATTAACTTTAATATGAAAGTTTTGATAGCACAAAATAATATTAAAAAGGAAAATTCAAGATGCCAATTACTGAACTTTCTTTTGTTAAATGGACGTCAGATTGGATTTGTGGATGTTGCTAGGGGGATGTCTCACTATCAGATGTTCATGTTCGATTTTATGCACGCTTTTTTTCTCCTTTCGCGTGGCGACAAAAAACGCTGGAATACGCGAAATAAAAATTTTAAGATGAAAAAAGTGTCAAGGTTCCGATGAGACATAGTTGGACTTTGTGTACAGCCTTTGTGTTAATCAATGGTGGTCGTCTCATTGTCGGGGTTTAGTTTTAAATTACACTCTGTTAATTAGCCTTCTTTAGTTACTTTTGCAACTCTGCAATATGGGTATCAGACTGTGAGAAAATGCAAGCTTGTAAATTTTGAGATTTATTGATTGTTCTTCTCTTGTTCTGGGTCCTCAACAGGCTTGCGCCCAATTACAGAGTGACCCGCATAATGCTTTTTAGAGGTTCCTCTGGTCTTAAGTTGGCTATACTACTCCGATATTTACTTTACGAATTACGAAAACTGCAGGAAACCCTAATTTGGAGTAGCCGGCAGAATCCTCGAAAGTGATGTAAGGAAATTCCAATCACTGCCACAGATGAAAAATTCATCACAACCAAGATTCGAACACCCGACCTCCCGGCTATGTAGCCCAACATTCTACCACTGAGCCACACAGACGGAGATTAAGCCACTGCCTCAAAAGCCATTTGCTGTTAGGTGGAAGGAAAGTCGCTAACCAATGACAATTAATTAATCAATCAATTAATCATTAACAATCTGCCATTTTTTGGGCGTAAAAAATTACTAGTTAACAAAAGAGGAGATTAGTTTTCGAAACATTTAGAGAGATTCACGTCTGAATTTTATGAGAGACCACCTCAAAGGTCCATAGAAAAATATTCTCGATTTTTGCGTGTAAAGCGGCCAGTTTGGCCCAAAACAATAAAAAATCCGGTGAAATATCCAAATCGAAATTTGAAATGATTTCAGTAACCTTCCAATGTTTTATTGGTGAGCCCGTTGGTGAGGTTAAACCAAGCATATTATACCTAAGGATAAGATAAGAATTTTGATACTATGTCAATGTCAACATTATCAATCCAGTTATATAAACATTCAAGAAAATAAAATGTTATCAATAATTAAAGTCACGCGATACAGTTATGGAAGATTTCGTGGTTAAATTCATATTTCCAAAAAAATAATCTTAATACTGTTTTTTTAGCTTTTGTATGTCCAAATCAAGGAAACAAACATTTATAGACCATACCATAGTAATAAATGCCATATGTGAAAATAATCTACTATTTTGAATCTCACATTTAGAAGGTATTTTTGTAATATTGCGCCTTCAAAACGAATTTACTATTTGATAATATTCCAAGGTCATTCAATTCATTAGGCCTTATTGGTATATTATAACTGAAATAATGGAGGTCATTTAGATAAAATATTGCATTATCTATTGCACTAAATATTTTCAAATTGTCTACATATATATGTCTGTAATTGGGCGCAAGCCTGTTGAGGGCCCAGGACAAGAGAGGGATAATAAATAAATAAAAAGAAAAATAAATATTAAAAAATATCAGCAATAACAATGGACCTAGGTTTGATCCTTCAGACACTCCATTATCTGATGTTTAATTACTTAATTTCTGATTAACAGATAAGCCGATATAAAATTCGCAACAGGGGGGGGACGGTATAATGCTTTCCACTCTAAAATACGGGTACTCGGAAGTTTTAAGTATTTTATGAACTCTGTGGAATTTTCAGAATTATTTGAATTATTGCTATTTTGGTTCAGATTGCTGTATATCGCGGCTGTTTTTAACGAAAGAGACTTACGATTTTCGCGCGCCCCTGTGCTACTTTTTTGTGAAACCTAATACCACAAATAGAACCCATGTCGCTACTTTTGTTTCTGAGATACAGGGTGCAAACGAAAAGTTTGAGTTTTTGGGATGTTATCATATCCGATTATCCATGTAAGAAATAAAAGAAATAAAACTCCAAGTTTTATATATTTCTACGTAGAATCCAGTGGCGTAGTAAAAAGAAAATGTTAACCAGCTTCTCTAAGATTTGACGCAAAGTTGGTATTTTTTAAATTAAACACCCTGTATATCTTGACATTAATTTTTTACCTTATTTTTCCTGATTACATTGATGTATGAACCAAAAATAAAAACCTGATTTTTTCAGCTTTTAAATAGTAGGCCATGGATTCATGGAGATTTGATTTTGTTTATTGTATCCATGGTAACTAAGGCAGTCGATATCAATAAATAAAAATGGCTGATGATCATTTCAAAAGTTTGGCAAATATGATATATTTATGTAATTAGGTGTATAAAAAATATAGGTTATGATACATCAATGTAATCAGGAAAAAGAATGCAAACAGTTTAGTTAAGGTATACAGGATGTTGCATTAAAAAAATACCAACTTTGGGTCAAATCTCAGAAAAGATGGTCCAAGATTTTTTTACTACGCCAATTTTATGTACTTACGGGTATGGGTGTCAAACTTGTATAATAAGAATAGTTCAACTTTTAACCATAAAAAAATACCGATATTATGTTCACTTTGTAGGAAGGCATACCGAATAAAACGTTATGTCGACAATCGGCGGGCGGTAGCGAAGACGTAGAAATGGGTAAATGCATGGAACGCGTTCACGTGGCCGCCGGAGATTCGAGAGACTCATTAGGAAGGGGGCGGTTCTTTCCTTTCGTTCCCGAGCATCACCTGATACCGGGACACGTTTCAAAAGACTTCTGGTACTGGAAGTACATTTACTATAATAGCAAAGAGGTAAGGTATCGATTGCGGTTAGTACATTTTTTAAATTTCATTTTAAAGGGAATGGACTGCTGCTCCGATAACGCAGTGTCGTTTCACTATGTCAGCCCTAACCAAATGTACGTATTAGAGTATCTAATTTATCATTTAAGACCGTACGGTATATCGTATCACGTGGATATGCCGACTCTTAATCAGGAATCTTCAAGCGGGAAAACAGGAAGTGCGTAGTGTAGATCTTTTAGAAATTTTAGCTGGGACTGTCTAACGGGTGAAATATGCGGTGTCTCTGTGATCGGCTTGTATTGGGTAATACAGCTTTGAGACAAAACAGTCATGGTGAATATTTCTTGTAAATTGCCGTGTTAAAAAATGCAGAGCTTCATTATTGTAAATAGCTGAACCATTGAAATGTACCGAATCATTGACTTTGTGAAGGAAGATTTTATGAAATGACTTTTGTCCTTCAATTTAGTTTTTAGGTGAGGCCAAAACTGCTTTCAATTCTCCAGTAAACACTTTTATGTTAAGAAAATTTGATACATTTTGAAATGTTATAACCTTCACTTTTCACACGATTCAGGTTAACAGTGATACCTCTGGTGGCAGCACATTGCTGGGAGAAGATCGCCATTTTGATAGCGTTCCTTTATACAATGCCCAAAAATAACCAATATTGTCGTGTTTACAGCTGCAAAAATGTCATTTGGGGGTTATATTTTCAAGTCTCAAAAACGGCATGATAAACTCAGTTCCCTTTAAAATTAGGGGAACTACACTTAAAAACCTACTAAAATAACCCTGTTTATAAAATGCTTCTCCACTACACTCGCCATTTGTAAATTACACCAGCGCCTCTATTGTTAATCTGTATCGCATATTGATTATTGAAGTGTAATTGAAAGGCCTGGATTTGGGTGTTTGAAGGTCATTTCCAGTAGAACTCCTAATCTATCAGAATAGAAATGTTGTGTATCGCAAACACAAAAATAATACAATAAGACTGTGTTCATTTTGTGACTCAAAAAACGTCACAGTCACTTATTTCATCGTGATTTTGTTAGCAAAGCATCAAAAGTCTCTATTTTTAAGGTTATAGTGCAATGTAAATAACTAGCCACAATAAATTATCCACTCCTGTATTTGTTAGTAACTTGACTGTTGTTAGTTGATTAGTTGAATGTAGCACAACCGTTGATGTACGAAACATTTCTGTACCATATTTAAAAAGAAGTTTCCCGTATACGTAGTTTGCACATTGCAGTTCGGAAAAACAAAGGTTTCCAGCATTGCATTTGGTTTTTGTATTTTTGTAATCTCTATATTTTATTGACTTGGTCCATTCTCTTGATTTGTTATGAACATTCACAGTATTGTTTTCAGTTTAGCACAGAGATAGAAGTGGGTGGGACCAGTGAGTTAATATAATTAGTTAGACTAAGACAGTGAATGTAAGTTCTGTATATTTGTATCTCTAGTCAGTTCTTTGCCAAATATCGAATAAGAATGTACATTTTGTAAGTAATAAGATTAGTGTATTTGTGATATCATAGATTAGGCCAAGTTGTAGCTTTGCTCATGAAGAATATATACGTAAGAAATTAAGTTTCATTTGTTTTTAGATTATATTCACGAGAGGACGCCTGCTTATGAAAATTACACATTTTTTCAAGCACTTGAAGGGGAAGCGTAAATTGCGGTTCAGTTGTTCAGCTGACTGTTTCAGGATTCCCGCTTGTACAGGGTGGTTCAAAGAAAATTTTTTTGGATATTTTTTACATTCATTTCTCCATAAAATTTCTTTTTTGTCCTCTACCTCATTCCGTAAAAATTCAATATGGCGTCGATAAGAAAAAAGAAACTTAAATTTAAAATTCTTGTTCAGATTTACCTTGAAATTATTTCCTGTACGTCTTCATAAACCAATTTCATCTTTTGCTTTCCAATTAAATATACATATTATTTCTTACAGGGTGTCCCATTTTTGATAATTATATTAGGGTTCCGTAATTGTTAGTGCTACTATTTTGGGCCAAACTCAAAATTGTAAAATCAAATTTTGAAAATTTTTGCTCACTTAAGAGATATCGGGGAAAATAAAATTGTTCTAGTGTACTTAACCCCCAGGTTCTACGCCAACTTCACACTACAAGAACACGGAAATAAAATCAGCCCGACAACGTTTAAAAATGGCCACCCAAATGACTATTCCTTCGAAAACTAAACAAGATCTCGCTTAAATTTGAAAAGTGGCACGTGGTAAGATATCTAAGGCAGGGCCCCCTCATGTTAGTTGTAGACAACGCTTTGACCTGAAGCACAGTAGGGAAGGAACGTAAAATAAAACACTCAAATTGTGAAGTTCGTTTAATAATGATCCCAAAAGCTCGGAAATTTAAGTCGAAATAAATTACATTGCAAAAATAAACTTGGTAGTTCACCGAATAAAAATAGGCTGGGAAAGAAGAACTTACCAATAAAAAAAAACAGCCGTCAAATTAATATTAAATTGTATAGTAAAATTAATTGTTTGTACTGATGTGAATGCGTAACATAAAATTATAACATCACAAAAAGTAGCATGTAGACTTCAAGAGCTAACATATAGGTTAAAAACAAGTTTTGGGAATTATGGATCAAGTAAAAGCAGGTACCAAGATTTTAAGAAAGGGTGAAATACACAGGATGTGACTCATCTTTGGTACAATAAAGTCCTTCTGTTAAAAGCAAAATGGAAAATTACATGGCCTTGTAAGCGAATTTAACTCAAAACAAGATACGTGGACATTATTGAATCGTCACTCATTTATCGCACATAGATTCTAAACTGAAGAGCTTTGATTAGCGTAATCCCGCTCCGGCAAGATAGGTAACCCGCCCCTGGTTTCGAGCTTACACCTGAATGTCGAAGACAATCACGGAATTAGGTGTCGTAGCTCAAATGGTTACAGTTTCTTTTACCACCCCCCGTGACTGCTTCATTCACGGAGAAAAATGTTAGTAACAAACAAAAAGTCAGTACATACATCAAACGAATCTGTAATTTCCACATATTAAAATAAAATGATCAAAACTTATATGAATGTTACTTCAGGGACAAGACCAAGTAATCAACATCAATAAACATAAATTAAGCAAGCACTACACCAAAAACGTAAACAATTACAAACAATAGCATAACGGTATCACATATGTGATTCTGCATTGTGGTTAAACTAAGTAAATTTCAAAAACAAAGATTCAAATACACAAAAAATATAAAATGTGGCATACAAAACACAAATACGTTATAAAGAAATGCAACGATTACTACCTGCATTAAAAACACACAAAATAACAACAAACATTTATGGAGCGACGCGTTCACGGCCGCCATTCAAGACAAGATGCCAAACGTAACCCCCGTTGACCGTTCGTGCTTTTTAGATGGCACAGGTTTGTATGGTCTAAGGGCACAGGCAGCTTTTTCCCACCTGGAAATTGCATGGTTGCCAACTCTCAAAAATGTATGTATCGTCGTAAGTTGTATATACAGGGTGGAACCTTTCATTGGCAATTTCAGAATGAACCTATAGAAGAGATAGAAAAACAAAAGTTTCTTTATAATGATTGTTGAGTAATCTGCCATTTTCAAAATAAGTATACCGGATCAGACAAAAATGTTATCGGACCTAACCTCATTTTTTAAATAGAACACTACCTCTAAAAATATAGCATAATTATATGTTATACACAAACAACAGTTCCTTTCCTGTAGTACTACGATACAGAATGTAGTACCTAGGGGTATGCGGGAATAACCCCCACAAAAGAAAGGTTTAATGAGAATTTCTGGGAAATACCTCGGGAAATACTTACCCTGTAACCCTGAGTGCCCCCATGTTGCTTTTCTACAACTGGCAATGGATTTGTTATGTGTACTCAGTGCTCTGTACCTGATAGAAGAACAGGATTTGATGACACTTTCACAGAAACTGCCCAGAAATTGCTGAAGCCTAAATGTTTTGTGTGAGAAAATATCAAGGGCCAGTACACACAACAGTTCCCTCTCCTGTAGTACTACTGCATAGAACATGGTACCTGGGGGTATGCGGATAATGCCCAGAAAAGAAAGCTTCGATGATGAGACGGGAAACACCTCTGTAACCCTCGTGATGGTTTTCCAGAAATGGCAATGAATTTGTTGTGTACTGATGCAGGGTTTTCCATACACCCCAGTTTTACGTTCTTTGCCCTGTACCTGCTAGAAGAACACGATTTGATGAGCCTTTCCCAAAAAGTGCTGAAATCTGAACGTTTTGTGTGGGAAAGTGGTACCGGGGGGGGGGGGGGTATGATCCAGCACACGCACAACAGTTCCTCTAGTACTACAGCACATAACGTAGTTCCTGATGGTATGGGGACTGATGGTTACAGGGAAGGGATTTTTGGAAATCGTCGTTGAACCTTTCTTTTCTAGGGGTTATCGCCATACCCCCACCGTATAATGTTCTGTGTAGTAGTACTACAAAAGAGGGGAAGGTAAAGTAGCGGCAGTAAGGTTTAGGAAGTGTTTTGAGGTTTTTTAATCATGGTAAATTTCAAATAGATCAGATATGAGATCATGTTGTACAGCGTGTCCCATTTTCGACACTTATAGGGTATCTCCATAACTGTTAGTGCTATAAAATATAGGTAATATAGGCGTTATGTGCTCTTGTCGAGTCAAAGTTAAAATGGTAAAATCAAAATTTGAATATTTTTGCTCGTTTAATAGATAAGATGGGAAAATAAAAATTGTCAAATTTGGAACGACCTTTATTTACTTAGTTAAAAGAGATACAGAAATATGTTTATTAAAACAGTTTCTTTGTAATAATTGTTTAATAATCTGCCGTTTTCAGAATAACCACACAGGGGAGAGTAAACAGTTATTGGACCTAACCTCATTTTCATTGATGCTCATTTTTATTTATTTTTTTTTCTTTCATTACATCTATTACTTATATCTCTTGTATATCTCTGTTGTTCATTTGTACGTTTAATATAATTTATATATATTTTTGGTTTATGTTGCGCAATTTAATCGAATTTAATGATCTTTCAATGCATTTTTACAAATTTTGTATGTTTATAATATTACTTTACGTAAGTATACTATCTTAGTTACATAATTTTAATTTCACTCTTGTAAATAGTGTATTGTTGCTCTATTTTTGGAATGTTTTCTGTTTGAGCAATAAAGTATTATTATTATTATAAATATGAAACCCCCTGTATATTTTCATCTAAAAATATAGCATATTACATTCTCTTCAAAAATATAACACGACAAGGTTTATATTACAAAAAGATTCAGATGATTAAATAAAATTAAAAAATGGTTAAAATAAATTAATTATATAATAATGAAAAAAAATGGTTAAAGTATTTTTTCCATCGTTTTGAATCAATATTGAATGTTTAGTGCGTTTTTGAAAAAAGTAGGCTTATTATATTCACTTTGACTGTTCAGTCGGTCGGCTGCAAAGGTTTTTTAAGTATAACTCAAAGAAATCATCGTAGAATGCTTGGGTTTGAACTGTTTGAAGCATAAATAAACCCATACAGGGTGTTAAATTAAAAAAAATGGGTTTCAAACCCATACAGGGTGTTAAATTAAAAAAAATGGGTTTCCGCCTTAAGCAGAGTAGGATTTGGCGTATTTTCCATGAATTGATCAGTACTTTCCGAAACGTCATGTAACGGACTATCTGTACAAAAGAAAATAAGTTAAGGCCTAAACAAGAAATTACTTTTTTGATTTATGAAGTGATCATGCCGAAATGATAGAAACCGCCTTCAATTACTATGATAACAGTATGTCCCTCCAAAATTAGTAGTCAAGTAAAATTAGAGTAATATTTGCTCAAACCTAGAACAAATTCGGGACAAGCAACCGATGTCCGAAATTAGTAGTACCAATAATGCTCTTCAACATACTAAAAGTCCCCATATGTTCTAGGTGTGGAACACCCTGAAAATTGAGCCGCCATCTTGGATTTTTATGTTTTTTGCTAATAACTTTGTTATTATTATTTTTTTCGGAAAAAGTTAGGAAAGGGAATTTGTGAAGCTTTAAAATACGAATCCAATGCTTCTTTATTTCTCGAAATCGATTGGAAACTAAGGGAGTTATGATTTTTTTTTGTATCAATAATCGCACTATACACGAATAATTCGATTTATCCGATAGGCGAAATTCATTGGAACTTTATAGACCAAAGACTTTATTATTCTTTATCGATTCAACGATTTTCAGTCCAAATTTTAGTTTACCGCCCCCTCCTGGGGCAATATTTTCAAATATCTACCGAATGGATGAGCTTCTCAAACAAGGAGAAGCATTTATATTAATGTGATACGGTGCCAAAAAATGCAAAACGCTCGATGACTACCGGTACATCAAGTACAACCAAGTCGTAGCAAGGCAGAATCTACCAATTTCGAGCTAGCAACATTACCTCCTACATCGCATGCTGCTAGATTACTTTTGAGATGGGTGTATCTACAGGTCCAGAATTGGATGGGTGAGGAATTGAACCCTAAAGACTTTGGCTGGTTTACGAATCAAAACAATGTCTTGGAGCCCGTAAGAATGGAAAATCCCTGTGGACCGGATCTCATTTTGAAAATGCTGTTTTGCGGTTGCAAAGAAATGTGTTCTAATTCTTGTAGCTCTAGGAAGTCGGGGCTCAAATGCACTGCATGTTGCAGGAATTGTACTGGCAATTTTTTCCGAAAAAAATAATAATAACAAAGTTATTAGCAAAAAACATGAAAATCCAAGATGGCGGCTCAATTTTCAGGATGTTCCGCACCTCGGAGATATGGGGACTTTTAGTATGTTAAAGAGAATTATTGGTAGTACTAATTTCGGGCATTGCTTGCTTGTCCCGAATTTGTTCTAGGTTGAACTCTAATTTTACTTGACTATAGTACTTATATTGCGCATGAGCCAAAGTCGAGTGCGCGCATGCGTAGAAACACCTTTCTAGTTTGTGAAAGCAAATTTTTTATTCGTGAAGAGAAAAATAGAACAATAGAACGACCACACATACAACCAATTTTCTATCTATTGTAGCTATCATGCTGAAATAAGAGGAGATAGTACACAAATGGTAAAAGATAGTTGACACTTCTAATAAAAGTACAGGTACCCTGAACGGTGGGGGTCATGCACATGTCCATGAGTGGGGTAGAACCAACTTGATTATCTCTGGAGTCACTTTTCTGAACTCCCAGTCTCAAATTGAAGCTTAAAATACAAACCATTATCATATCTATAGTGAAATTTACATACAGAGACGCAAGCGCTATCTACATTATAGTTATTGAATAATAATTAAGATTGAACAAATTATATTAAATATCCTTTATTGCCTAATATTCTAATCTCAGTCAATGGACAATAAAACTTCCGATCTCTATGTACAACGTGCAATTTCTTAAATCTAACCTACATAGCACCACCCGCATGTTTCCCATATTGTGAATTAGTTAATTGCGTTATAGTCCCCAATATGGACTTGCAATTATGTAACTCTTTAGACACTTCTGATAACTCCCGCGTCTTTGACGCCAGCTCGTTTTCGCCACGCTTGACTTGCTTCTCCAGCTGCGAGACTTGCTGAAAACGTTCGCAGTTATCTGCAGTTTCGTCGCTTCAGCTTTACTTACCAAATTTAAATGGTCTACGTTTGCGTTAGTCCGCAAAATGATTTCTTCGTTCTTCTGCACGAGCGCCTCCTTTTTCAATATGTTGTCTTCTAATTTCGCCACAATTTGTTTAAGATTCGTCTGTTTCTCTTCGAGCGCACCTTTTTCCGTTTCCACCACTTTCAGTCGTTTTGACGTGTCCTCCAGAAGCTGCATCGTGTCTTTTAACACCTTTTCTTTGGCGGATAATTGACTGGCATACCTAGATTTTTCGGCGTCCAACCTAAAATAATTGTTTTTAGAAATCAAGTCGCGAAGTACCCCAATTACAATTCCTGTAATTTTGCTTTTTCTGCAAGAACGGCCTCTTTCGTTTTCGCCATCTCCTCGTTACACTGTTGACTGTGCAGGCCTAGTTGGCGCAATTTCGATACCTCGGCGGTTAGTTGCGCCACCCTGTGTTGTAAATGAGTGCAATGCATCGTCGCCGCTTCTATACTAGCGGTGCCAGCGCGTTCGGCCTGGTTCATCGACGCTATTTTGTACTCGTACAATTCCATAATATCCGCCATCGAGATACTTAACAAACTTTGGTTGTACGCTTCCTACGGCTACATTTAATATAAAAGCCTTTGAATTTTGCTTAATACGAACCTTAATCTTAGCCATTAAATCGTTCAGTTTTTCACTTTGTGTAACTGACATCATGGGAAAGTTAAAATTATCCGAGATCGGGTTCGACACACTTTTCGTCGTCTCTAATTGCATTGCCGGTTGTAGTTCGCACATTGCTTCTGATACTCGATTAATTGGGAAGTGTTCGCACGATGATATACTCATTATTAACGTTTTTGTTTCCTTGGTGCCATTGTATAGCGCCTGCGCCAGCACCATATGTATCTGTCTAAATTTTTGATGATATTAAAACTATTTCTGTTGCAACTTCATGTGAATAATGTTCATTGGTCGATTCCTTTGGGAATATGAAAATTACTTGTAACAAACTTCCTTATGCAAATTTCTAAAAATAATCGACCACTACCTTATACAAAAAAAAAAAATGTAAAATGATAAATTTTTACAAACGAAAGTTTTAGCGCACCTAAGATCGCACGTAACCGCCCGTGAAATTGGTTGTCAATAAAATACTAACACAACAATAATACGTGCTCGCTCTTGAAAGTCTAACCTCGTCTTAATTTTCACGCACAAATATTTGTACGCGATTGAGTTTGAAGCCAAAACGAAGAATAATTTTAGCATACCTATTAAAGAAAGACCTGTAGCTTTGGATAGAAAATAAAATGGTGTATCTTGAGCGTTTTCCAGGAGCCCCTCGGCTCTTTCTAGCGCTATGGAGAGAGTAACATGCCTTAACCAAAGCTAGAAAGTCGGGTGGCTTTAGAATTAAAAGGTATTTTTTTTCGAATTTGTGTTTTGTTCAGTATAGGAAAATTTACACATGTACCGCTTCATAGCGAACGTGAACGAAAACATGTCTGGCGATAATACGAGGGTCGTTCAAAGAGTAAGTTGAACAACTACATAACACTGAAGAAGAGGTTGAATCACAAAAACAAGGGCGTTTAATTTTCTATTTTTTCTATACAGTGACCAAAACGGTCTAAACATTTTTCATAACGCGAAATTAATTATGAAATTCCTAACTCAAAGTAGCGGTGCAAATTTCTTCCGTCGAATTGAATCGTCTACCACAGAGAAAAGATAGTAGTCACTTAGGCCCAAGTCAGAGGAGTAGGGAGGATACTCAAACACTTCCATCGGAATTGCTGCAATTTTTCTTGCGTCAAGCGGACCCAATATGCCCGTGAGCAGTGAAGTCGTTAAACTTATTTTTTAAACGACCCTCGTAAGAAACGTATTCGGAAAGGGAGCTTTTGGGACCTAAAGTATCGTTCCGTTCTGTTTAAAGCCAAGAACATGACAAAAATGCGCATTTACTATTCGTTTAAAAAGTCGAGGTCGTTGCGTTCAGAAAAGGACGCTCGTTTCGATATTTCTATCGGGCATAGCGAAAGAAGTGAGCCAGCGAGTTCTTGTTTGAGTTCGCGAGTTGAAACGTACTATTTGTGCGTGAATTTTTCTACGGTTCAAGATTTATTATAAGTTGCTTTTCGCGAATTATCGCTGACCAATTTAAGTGCGTTGAAATTGAATTCAGGCGCGTATCGTTTTGTGTACGAGATTTTCTGGCGCGTATGTGGGAAGATTCGTGGTGGGATTTCAAGAACCGAACCGTTTATTATTGAGTGAAATCTATCCGAATAGTAGTTGACTTCAACTGCGGGTAAAAACATATCGTAAGTAGCGAGAAAATTTAAGCGAATGAAAATTTTTGAGCCGTAGATCCGCTTTTGTAATAAAAAAAACGTGATTAACAGCGGTCTGTTTTCATATTTCTAAAGGGAGCAGAATTTTCCGAGGAGAGATAAGACCAACTGTAACCTGAAAGGAATCTTATCCAAGTCAATTACTGTAACTTATTCTAAATTGTTTGATTTGTATAAAGTAGTGGTCGATTATTTTTAGGAATTTGTATGAGAAATTTTGTTCAAAGTAATTTTAATATTCCCAAAGGAATCGACCTATGAGAATTACTTGCATGACACAGATTTGTATTGCATTTATCAATAAGAATCGGATCTAAACAAATATTTTGGTTCATTGATTGGAATTAATGTCAGACCTTTGATTGGATTAAAGTTTTGTTCCGAGGTATGTGTATATCTTGAACAGAAGAAGGCATCGGGAATTTATTATGTATAAAAAATGACAGTTTAAATGTTTTCCGCCTCTCAATTGTGAGTGATTTAAGACTGTCACCAGCTAAATTAAAAAAAAATAGAAAAATTTACTTTTTTGACATACTTACCTACCTGTTACACCCTATACGAGTAGTCAAAAATTGGTACTGATACCGGTAGAAGGCGCGTTCTCACGAGTCAAGTTTAATTGACCGATTTTAGTTCTCACTACAGTTTTCGTTTCACTTTTCTTGATCAACTAAAATCAGTCAACCAAACTTGACTCGTGAGAACGCGAATGAATTCAAATAATTGGAAAAAAGTTACCAATACGGAATGACCAAACTGAAGATTCCAAAAAGGAGGAGGCGAAACTGCGACAAATTTGCACATGCCAATAACTAAAATAAACCACAATTACCTTTGCTGCATTAGATCCGCAAAGAAACTCCTCCACATGCCGTCATATTTACACAGTTCACTAATTAAAACAATCGCACTCGCGTACAACAAGACAGCGTCCAGCGTCTGTGTACTTGTGTAGTGTGCCCTAGTTTTTGTGGGCGATTTATTGAGTAACGGCACAAAAATCTTGATGAACAAGTCCTCCTTTAGAATGGCCAAAACGCGTTCCCTCGTGCTATCCGTTCGTATCAACGATCTGAGCAGTTCCAATAACGATTTCAGTCGCCTATTCGTTTCAATATTTGTGTTCACCTCCTCCTCACCGTTTACGATGTCCAGCAGGTAAATCGGCAGGCTGGTCAAAAGCGGATCGAGCGTGATCGACGTTTCTTCGGTTACGTTCGCGGCCAAAGTGCGTAGTATTTCGTAAGCGTTCGAGCAAACGTGATTGACTTGTACCCACTTCAGCGCCAGGTTAACCAATCTCTTGTCCAATAATTTTATGTTCGGACGTCGCTTTTGCATGACGAAATGTAAAAATTGGAATACGACAGCCACGCACTGCGATACGTTGTTGTTTCGCGCGTCTTCGTGTCTGCCTTCCAGTTCCTAAACATGAAAAAACAAATGTCAAAAATGATGCAGGGGGTTCATTTTCATGAGAAAGTGAAGGAACGTGCAATGCGGATGCGGCAAGTCAAATTTGTTTTTATTTTACTGAATTTTGATAAAGGAGGGGGTACTGTAACGAAAGTTCTGGTTGGTATACATTGCTGAGGGAAAGTGGATTTGCATCATACATGGTCTAGTCTAGTCCATCAGGGGAGCAGAAAGAACCTCCAGATCTCAATGAAAACAATTTGACCCATCAAAAACTTGTAAAGAGAAGTGGACGCATGTGTTGCTATTGCTACGCGAAATGGCAAACGGTCACCAAACCACCTACAAGCTCAGGTACCTCAATTTAAAATGTCGAAATTGAGGCAAATTTTATTAATGTGACAAATCAGCAGCCTTAACCGCCCCCAAAAGTTCAAAGGATTAATTAACAAATTTTGAATCAACATCTGATTAAATTCTGGGTACGAAATAGAAAAAATTTAACTTGAGAACTCTTATCTGGGCTCGATTGAACACAACATAGCACATTTACAGATGAAACAAATTTATTAGACAAAATCAATCAAATAAGCTGAAAGAAATATAGGCACTGAGGGCAACACACAACGCACCAAGCGATCGATTAAACAAATAGAATTTAAATAAAGGTCCAACTACGGCCGTACCTAAATGCGCTATTCAACAAACAGGCACACTAACACATACCATAGAGTAAGCGTGCCCCCTGTTATCTAGGACAGATCACTAAATTGGGTAGCTGAATTAGCGCGTTTATGAACCACTGAAAGCCGCGGCTTTACGAATTCATTTATAATGTCTGACCTTGAACTGATTTTTCACTTTTCTTTACTGCGCGACCTTTCAAGAGGATGCATTCCGTAAAAAAAATACATTGATTGTACTCTGTCGAATAGTTTATTACCTACTTGCAATTCAATAAAATGTGCGAAACGAAATCCTTTCCACAACAATTAATAGTAAGTATCGAAGGTTCATTAAATAATAAATTTGTTGAGGGTTTTGACAAACTTATTGTCCCTATTTAAATTCGAGTGCATAAAGATTACAAGATTTGTACCGCACATTTTTATTAATAAATTGATCGTTTACTCGGAAATTTCAAACAAATTTTTAAACTTCTCGCGTAACTACCTACTTCCGATACAATGCCAAATAATCTTCATGTCCGATTATTCGCTTCGAACAGTCTATTTAGTTTTTTTTTTGTAGAAATTAATGTTACGCATCCGTTCGTAACATTGATATCCATTTTCCAAATTTTGAAACTACGTAAACAGAATTTAAATATGACGTTGAGAAAAAAGTCGTGTGAGATCGAATGGACTTCAGCGCATTTTTGTGTGATAGACCAGTTTCTATTAGCCATTTATATTGCAACATGAAAGTCGCAAAGTAACTTTTTCAAAAGGTAACCGCGTGGTGATTTTTTAGTCTTCTTCTGCAGTTGTAGAAAGATGAGAAGTGTACTTGTACCTACCAGGCCGCATAATTAACAATTCTTTACTAACGTGGTGATTTTTTAGTTTTTTCCTATCTTCTTCTGCGGCAAAAACTGAAAAATCACCACGTTAGTAAACCACGCTCGGGGATGGCGCCCGGATGTCACCGACCACACATCATGTAGCCCCGCCCCTAAAAAATTGTTAATTATGCGGCCCGGTAGGTGCACTCATCTTTTCTACAAGCGATCTTCTACGGGGTCTCATTTGCTGCCAGCCAGTTAGCCCGCCGGCCAAAGTGAGATAAAAAACCACCGTTTTACAAATAAATTTGCAAAAAATGCGTTAATAAGAGATAATTACAAAAAAAGTTAAATTACTGTTTGCTGCTAAACAATGGCCTAGACGGTCCTAAAACTTTCGTCTAATTTCAAATTCAATATGGGCATAGCTTTAGCCATATAATACGCAATGCCAAAAGTTGAGTCGAATCGATTCAAAATTCACAGTGCCCTTTTCGCATCTCGACTAATTTATTATAAACCGAATTGCAAACTTTTTTATTTATGGAAGCATTTAAATGAAATTTGATGCATAGCCACTTGAAACAAAGGAAAATCTAACGTAAGTTTCAAAATTTAGGTTTGCGCATGCGCAGTGACAATTTTCTTATTTATGAAAGCATTGAAATGAAATTCTTCTTATAAACTGAAATTGAAGTAGGACATCAAAATGGACTGCACATATGCAACGCTATCTTTCATATTTGTGGCCGGATTTTTACGATTTTTTTTTAACTTGTTGTCTTTAGTATTGAGTGTGCGGGGTTTCAGCTAAGGCTGCTCACCAACCTAACACACATTTACAAATACCCATGCCAGTACCTGGATTCGAACCAGGGACCCTTAGTACCGCAGTCCAGCTTCAACTCAACTGCGACACACGGGCTGGCTTAAGAATGACGTTATTGTTTGTAAAAACATCCAATCACATGTCTTAACAACACTGTTAGTTGACAACATAGTTCAGTATGCTTTATATTACGGGCCGATAATCATTTTGAAATTAACAATTTTGTGGTTTTCCCTGTATTTCTTACCCGAGCGAAAATTTTCATTTTACCGTATTAAGTTTTAAAATTTAAAAAGAGCACATGCCCAAAAATAAGTTACAACCAACAACTTTTTTTTTAATGAAAATTCATTTTTATTTTCTTTTGGAATTTTACAGTGTTTCATGTACAGGGTGTCCCACTTTCGACACTTTTATAGGCGTTATGGCCTCTTTTTGGGTCAAACTTGCAATGGTAAAATCAAAATTTGCACATTTTTGCTTCAGAGATACGGAGATAAATCAAACAATTTTCAATTTCAGAATGACCGTATATATTCTTAGTAAAAACAGAAACAAAAAAATGTTTCTTGAAAATTATTGATAAATAATCTGCCGTTTTCAAAATAAATAATTATACAGTACTATCGGGTAAAAAAGTTATTGGATCTAACTTAATTTTATTTAAATGGCATACCCTGAATATTTCAATCTAAAAATAGCATATTAAATTCTTTTTTTTTTAAATTAAACACTGAAAAAATTCAATATCGATTCAAAAAGGTTCAAAAAAGATTTCTTAAAAATTCAAAAAATCGTTTGTAGTAATTTCGAATTTTTTCAGTCAGAAAAAAGGGCGATAGTTCGTAGAAAACAGTTCCTTTTGTTGACACCTTTAATTAGAATACCATGAATGGATAAAACGTGTGGTCCTCCCCCCCCCCCTTCCCATTTTCAAAAGTTTTACTTGCCACTAAAGGCATGCGCATGTAAAATGGCGTGACGTCAAATTTGAGCGGGAAATTCGAAATGCTGGACTTGGCTGGTTTACTGTCGAAGATATTGACCCCTATCGCCCCATACATTAAGTATCACTTTTAAATAGGCCTCTTTACGGGCTTATACTGACCTTATGCGCATTAAATAAGCATATCGACCCTCTTATATCGAAACACTGATTACTTAACTTTAAAGGCAAGTAAACGACCAAGTCTAGCAATTGGGAAAATGTAAACACAAGAACAAGGTCATATCATAATCATTCCATCTTGCCAACCGTAAAGTGTAAATATGGTAGACATATCTTTAATTTTTAATTATAACGCAATTAATGGATTTTATTTAACGATTATTGCTCTGTTTTAAAGTTAAGTAATCAGTGTTTCGATATAAGAGGGTCGATATGCTTATTTAATGCGCATAAGCTCAGTATAAGCCCGTAAAGAGGGCCTATTTAAAAGTGATCCTTAATGGATAGGGCGATAGGGGTCAATATTTCCGACAATAAAACAGACAAGTCCTGCAGTTCGAATTTCGCGGGCTATTATGACGTAACCACTAATAGACTCTATTGGTTGTCGCATGAAAAGTTTAGGACCATTCCCGTAAAAGTAGTTCAACACGGCAAAAGTGGTTCCTGACCGACGGAGAACACGCAAAACAATAGCGCCAGCGCTAAAAAATACAATCTTTGCCGATCTACCTTTCATTGCATTGCTGGTTACTGGTTAGATTATAGAGCATATGTGGTCTGGTAAGAATAAGAAGCAAGTTGTCTTCCGTGTTGAAGAATTGAAGAAATAACTCACACCGGAGAGCCTTTATAATTTCAATTTCTAGATATCAAAATTAAAACCTCTCTTTCCTAATTATTACGCCTTTCGTGTTCTCATATTTTTTCGAATTAAGCGAATTATCTTTTACACATTGTGTAGAAAGTGTCATATTTCATAGTAGATTAGATTGTACACTTGCAGTTGAGTGTTGACCATTACAGTAAATGTCGTAAATTGCTCCATTGCTGGAACCACGTTGGGCGTCTGTTGAACTATATTTCGGTTGAAATTGTATTTATGTCTTAAAACGTGGAGAAAAATTTTAATGAAACTTTAAAGAGTCTAAAGTGTGAGAGTGAAAGAACTACCTACGTACGTTTTTCTAAACTAGATTTACAAGAACGCATTTCGGAACTAGGCGCTCCTCGACTAACTATAGCGCCATCTCAGAACGAGGGGACCGCATATCGGCCGCTAATGAACGTACGATTTTCTATTTTTACGGTTAGTTACACTCCTTTAAAAAGCAGATGACAAGCATCTCCTGAGCGAAAATTAGCAATCCCAGTTTATCCTATTTGTTTGTAACTCTTATTGTATTTCCTCTATGCACATATCAAGCTGAATGATCCTTTGACTTCACTTAAAACTCGATTTAGACTGCGTTGTAATTATAGTATTGGCCCTTCGATGATGGAAAACATTCTCTTTAACTAAACACTTGAAGACGTTAAAGAATGGCTCTCTTCGGCGCTAAAGGCTGAATACCGCAGCCTTCCGGTTAAACTTACTTACTTTTATCATGATATAAAGAAAATTCTTTAAACACTCTATAGCTTTCTCCTACAAAACTTTACAATTAAACAAGACAGACTGTCTTTTCGGATACTCTCAAAAACACCAAAACGAACAAACTTCATCGAAAGGTCACGTTTCACGTCCGTCTCTCTACTGAAAACAATTTCCCTTTCTTTTCAACTTCCGTCTCCACTTTCTTAACAAATTAATGCGTCGTTGAACGATAAACTGCACAGGCACCTTTTCTTATCTTGAAACTAATTAGCATACGCCGCGATAACAAATAAAATTAATCAAATAAACAAAATACAAGGTGATTATTTAAACAAAATTAGCAACTAAATAAATAATTCTGATACAAAGTTTGACCTCTAATTCAACTAATATGATCGAATTTTGTGTCCTACTTAATAATTAACAACCACGCTAAAAAATAATTGACAGTTAACATACAGGGTGTCCTATCATTACTGCAGATGCCAAAGTCAAATAAAACGTCCACACAAGATGTAGTTTACACAACACTATATTGCGAATGAAAATAATACTTCATTCAAGCCAAATTGCATATAGTAAGTGGAAGCTCAAGTCGGTTATACCAGATTTGTTAGTACACACTGTATTTGGATACAGTGTGTACTAACAAATCTGGTATAACCGACTTGAGCTTCCACTTATCTTGGGATAAGCATGTTTATCATGGGAATCTCGGGATTTTTACATTTTTCATTCAACTACATAATACATACCACCAACAAACTTTCCACATCACCATCATAGCCGTTAAAGTTCAGTAACGTTCTGCTATGACAGTTATTGTCCCACATATCGAGGCAAAATTCGGCGACGTGCCGCAACAAAATATAATCCTTGGCCCTAAACGCTTCGATTAAGGATTTAAATGTAACTTCGATCGACTTCAGAACTACATCTTCGGGAACTTTACCATTCATATAATCCAATATTATGAGCAACTTACAAACGTGAACTTCTACTTTTAAGCCCTGAAATCGACAACGCTACTACGGTAAGTCACGTCCAAAACACTCACCTTCAAAGGCAGACAAAAACGAATAAATTTCTTTATGTCAATACATCGCGATAATGTATAGACAGCAGGTACGTTTTTATAACACAAATTTACTAATACTGCCAAGGACAATGCTTGAATATCTTGGTCACTGTTCTCGATCCAATGCGTAAGCGTAGACATAATGTGTATCAAATACGGTATTTGCCACGAGATTTTGATACCGCACGACAATTCCTACGACAAACTCGTTAGCTAACATGTAAGAGTGGGTGGATCGTTCACCAACTTGCATTAAACCTAAAATTTTCAACTTCTTTTCCTTCGGTAACTGATTACTCAACGATCTCGATAGTAACGGCATAAACTGATACGTTTGTATAAGCACCATTCTCGCCGACAAGTTCTTACAGGCTAAGGTAAGTACGTCTATACAAGGCCAGACTAGGAACGATCCGGGTTCCAAATTTGACAGCAGCTCGTGTAAACACACAAAGAATTCTACGACTAAGTTCACATGGGGATCGAATATGCTCAAGTCGGCTGCTTCGTTTATGAGCTAGAAAATATGAAAAATTACCACAATTTAGAACTATGAGTTGCCTTTTACTTCTAAATGCCTATTTATTCCATTTGCGGAGTCCTCGCCTTTTATTTGTATGTAGTCCGTTGTTGCAATAATGAATTGCTTTATAATGTAATACTTATCGCTTGAATTCATTAACGATAATTCTAATATGTTACTCATTCCGTAGTTATATTGTTTATAATTATTATGTATTTGTTTAAAACTTTTAAAAAAGGGAAAAGGAAAACGGTTATGGTAACTTTTCAACTTGAATATAAACAATAGCCACACGTTACACGTAAGAAGTAAAAGTCCCTGCTAGATTAATATACACGGTGATACAACGTAGACGTATCTATTTATGTCAAAAATATACACAAGGACAAATTTGGTTAAAGCTTGTTGTTCATAAATTAATTTGTATTTATTACTACAATTTTTTTCGATTGTAACAATTTTACACATACGGTATTACCGGGGGGCGGACAGGAGACAGGTTTGGGACCGTGTTGCGACTGTTGCGAGGAGTACTCGGCTACTCGAGATATTTAAGGGTTTTTGTGTAGAAAGAAGATCACCAGGAATGGTGAAGATCCAGGCACCGTAAGTAGATGGGATAGTTGCAGTTTAAAGATTTAGATGGTGGAGAATAAAAGCGTGAATTTAATATAAGATGTATGAGTTTTAGGTTCTGTAGGTTCTTCAAGCCGTGTCGCTTCAGAGTAATGTTCGGGCGGTTTTGTCTCCTTTAAATCCAACACTGCTCTTGTCTGGGTACCTAGGGAAGATACAGTTTTTTGTTTGCAGCGTTAGAGCGGAGTTCTTTCCAAGACCCCGTACGTATGTCATTATTCCTCTTTCAATTAAGCACGGTCCGATATAGTAACAACGAAGTTTGGCCAAGCAGGTGAGTGGTTTCTTCCAGTTTGGGGTCAGGGCGTCGATTCCCGAAGATGTGCTTTGTTCACATCGACTGACCTTGATGTGAACGTGAATGTCACTGCATTCTCGAACCTACCACATCGAGCGAAAAGTTGATCGAACGCAACGACTGGTCTAGACCACTCGTTGCGTGAAAGTCATGCGCAGTTGCAGCTACAGGACGGATCTTGCAGCTGTTTTGCTATAGAGGTTATTCAGTGCCCTAACCTATAAATTCACATATTTTCTGTGAAATAAAACATGGAATTGTTCGAGGATTTTCTGGTTATTAATAACAGTATCCTTAATGCAAAAACGAAACAAAATACAAAACTGACAAATGACAGTTCAATTCTTGTCTGTGATTGGTTAGCGCATACAGTTTGTTCGCGATTCGGGAATGCAGCTAAACTTGAACTTATCCCTATCGTATACGATCATGACGTCATGGCAGCCGGTCACATCACATGCACATCACGGAGCATATCGACCAACTTCGGGAATCGATACCCAGAAGTTACTTTTTTTTTTGGTTGCCCAGTTCTGTCTTTTATTTAATTCCCTTCCCGATGATGTCTCACGTCCCTACACATAAAGAACCGATTACACAACGTAGGAGTTCATTCGTGCCGTCCATGTCGAGCCGACTGTCATTCAAATTGAAAAGTGCCGCGAAACGTCCATCGTTACGACTTGAAAGGTAGGTGGCTCTGCTTGTAGTTTTTTTTGCCAGTTGCCAACGGAAAGTATAGGGTAAGTCAAAATTTTCAGTGTCGGATTGATAGACCCCTAGGAACATTACAGCGTCAATGGATTGGAAGTTGGTTGTCTGAGACTTCAGAGAACCGTCATGCAATTGGCGTTCAGTCGTATAAGCAAAGTCAAGTTAACCACTTGTAAATTATCGTGGGGTGTGTTTTATTTTGTGAACAGAGAATTCCCGTTTAGAAGTGAGATAGCGTTAAATGAACTACCTGTAAATTAGTGCAGGGCGGTTTTAAACCTATATATGTGTGTGACACCCTATAATAATACTAATCGACAAATTTCCAGAAATTTCGTGTTAATACGGTAGCGAAGTTAAGTACGTGTAAAACAAGATCGAAAAGTCTAAACGAACTAATCCAAATTTTGGAGATTTTCAAATTCAAAGGATCACATTGCGAATGGGTAACAATAGCGGTCGTTTTTGCTATGACCCTAATGACTCTAGAAAAATGGAGAATTTCATATTGTAATTTTTCGCGCATCTGAAGCGGTCGATTATGTGTTAATAATATTTTTTATACACATTGAGACATTTACATTTTGCCGTCTACTTAGCAAAAACAAAGATGGCCACTTTTGTACAACCTCAGCACTTGAATTAACATTATCCGTTGCTATTGTTACAGAGGTTTGTAGATCAGTGCAAAATTTAATTTTTTCAAGCATAGAGAAAAAGGTCCATTTTCATGGATATTGAGCTAGCCGTCGGCACAAATTTGACAGAAAGTAGGAAAATTTCCACATGTACCGCGAACGTGAACGAAAGTATGTCTGGCGATAACAATCGGTAACAAGAAATGTATTGCAGACAACGAGGGCGGTTGATGAGGTCTGCGAACTAAAGTGCGACATACGGCGGGGAATTTGAAGAGGTAATAAATCGGGCAAAATCGAAATCAACACCGCGGAGCATTGGCGTTTTACTGCTATGCATAATCACGACATCGAGAAAAATTGAAGCCGGTTTGCTCGGATTCGCCATACGTAGGGACATTTTTATTTTGCATTATCACGGGGCAACTGTACATATTGAAGCGGTATGTTGCCATATTTCTAAAAAGAGTAGGGAATACCAAGGAGAGATAAGATCAATTGTTACCAGATGAGAATATTACGTACATCAATAACTGTAAATTAGAGCCAAACTTCCGCCAGTTAAGGTAGGTGTTTAAGAACATTTTTCATTACTGAGCTAGCCGTGGATAAATTAAAAATTAATGGTTAGTTTAAAATTTTTACCAGTGCCGTAGAGGTTCAATTAGTTTATAAAAGTGAGGTCTTCGAAACCTTTGTGAAGGTAACTAAGCCCGTTACAAGGGCTTGCGATTGGTAGAAAATGGACGCTAGTCGTGAATGTTGCGCTGGTTTCGGTTTTAAGCTCGCACGGCAATATAGGAAAATAATGGAGACGAGCAACGACAGCCTGGGGGTACAGGTCTTTTGGGAGAATTTTAATTGCGGAAGACGCGAAGTTATTTTTTCAAAGGAAGTAACAGTTAAGGGGAGGCCAGATGCAGATTGTTAAGAAAACGCAGTTCCAACCTCAAGAGGGAAAACTTATCTACACGTTTTTAGCTTTTGGAACTCCTGAATATTAGTGCCAGACATTTGCGTTACTTTTGTATATTATATTCAAATCAGTACCTAACGTTTTCTGTTAAGGACGTTAAAAAAATTAATCTTTTGTCAGTTGAATAGTAAAAAAACAAGACTTTGCTCTTTATTCAATCGTATAGGTACTTACTTGTGAAGTTACTCGCCCAGCATAGAAAAGCTCAATCCAATTTGCACAAGTGCAAAGTTAATTTAATTACGACGCTATACAAGTAATTTACCCACGCTGGTACCCTCGAAGCTCTTCGATAATTCACTAACGCTATTATACGCCGATAAAAATGTGGGAAGTTATCACCGTGATGTGTTAAGTTTATTTGACACGCTACTTACAATATGTAATTGCTAACTAAGTGCATATCCCTTTTAAATTCCAGAATCACGTTAATTTATGTTATTTGAAAATGCAATTTACTCTTAATGGTAATTCGCGGAGGAGTGCCACCACCACCGTTACAGAGCGTTGTAATATATTCCGCTACAAGACGTTAATGCACTTTGTAGGATATTTATGTAAAAACAAATTCGAATATGTCCGATTTTTTCGACTCACCCACAATTCAGTAAGTAACTGTTACTCGAATATGACATGATTTCTGAGCAAGTTTATTTCAATACGCATATATTTGTACTGTACGAATCCAATCACAAATCAAATTACAAAAGTAGCACCGATTGCTAAAGCTTGTACCTAGTGGTTGAGCAAATTAACGTTAAATGTAAGAACAGATTAGTTAATAAAGTCCCCAAAACACAGTTTTTCACGTAGGTAGATGGCTCTCCACATATTATGCTTAAAAGAGAAAGGCCGATAAGTGGACACTATTACAGTAGAGTCAGTAGAAGTATCTACTATATGTATTTGTGACACTCGATCACATACTGCTCTTGATTTCCAGTTCCTTGTGACTGGGCGGCCACCTTCATTTTATTAGAGCGCTTCCGAAATAAATGGCATCTTTAATTTCTTCGTAATTACATTTCTCGTGGAAATGACCGTAATCTATGTAAGAGCGAAACCACACGATGAACAAATTTACGTAACAGCAATTTAAACGGAAAATTGATGCGCTATTATGATCGAAGTTAGGCTTGATCTCCTTTCTCTCTGCTTCCACGTTTCTATATGTATGTGCCCAGTAGAAAATACGAAATGGACCCGACGCCATAGTCGCGACAAAACCCGCTTGTGTCCAATTCGAGAGCAGCATGGGGGACCGAACACAAACAACAGAGTTCCCAGTTATCTCGGTAACGGTCCACGCTTTCCTTGAAACGCGCACGTTTATTACTAACCTTATCGCGCTCACCTTCCGTATGAAGGTCAAAATTGCAAAACGAGCTACCGTTACATTGTGCACCATTTTTCAGAACTTGTGAAAATTTTCGAGTTTAATTTTATACAGTTCCAGCTGTGTCAAAATACATAAATGATTAAATAAAGAAGGATTTAATTTAAACTTAAAATGATGGTCGGTTGTGTGCGTATCATTTTAAAAACCAGCCCTGGCGATCCTTACGTTTCCAAAAATGATGGAATAAGTCAATTGAGAGCATCCAACATAAAAGAAAGTGTATTCCGATCCACACCAAATTCAGTTACTCGCCAGAAATCCTTAAAATTAAACTGACATTAAATTTTTCAAAAAGGGATACGACGGCTTTGTTAAACGTTTCTTAAGTGAAGTTTCAGAAAAAGAAAGCGAAGTGCACTGCACCTTAAAAATTATCCACCAATTGAAGCTTTTTAAACTAAATCATCTGCTACAGCAGTGGTCCTCAATCAAAAATTGCAGTGCTACTCAAGCAATAATAATCTATATTACTGTGTGGAATGGCGTGCGGGCACTACGTCACCTACAAAACACCTGACTCGTTAGCTCAAATCAAATTAAAATTGAAACTTAGAATCTCGTCTGGTACACATCTGGCATCGGTTATAAAGAAAAGTCGTAATACTGA